TTTCTTGGCGTCAAGTCTGGTGGCCTGTCTGGACATTTTTCGGTTGTTTTAAGTCTCGTCTTAAAATTCTCCAATAAAACTAGAAAAAAAGACTCAGATTTCTGCGAAATAGAGTTGTCAGGGTACAGTGCTGAATCACGGCATTGGCAGCAGGGATGCATATGAACTAGTCGTTCATGAACGAAACTAACTTATTCATTAAACTTATGACCATTAGACAAGTCCAATAGAAGGGAGTACTTAACACTAGAATTTTTTAGAAAATTATTCATCAGTAGCATAAAATTATAAGTTCAGAGCTGAGGGTCAAAGTGGTCTAGTAATATTCAAACGAATATTGAAATCGGGGAATATGATTTGCGATCATGGACGGAGAACGATTAACCCATTGTCAACCAGGGGTATTTATGTATTCCCACGAAAATGTTGAATCTTGAAGAATTTTAGCGCAGTTTACATGAAAGATATCTTGCTCTTTTTTACAAGTAAAAAAGAAGGATCGGGTGGATCTACAAACAGTATTATAAGTCTCGGTTTAACTCAAGTTGTTCACCTGTTTGAATGGAGGGGGGTTAAGTGGGATAACTTCGTTTTTTGATCGATATTTCGAAAATTAAACAATATAATTCTGGGGGTCTATTGAGGGTATTTTTTATATTGATATTTTATATTTGGTAACATCGATGTTTTTTAAACTCTATCTCAGTATTATTTTCTGCGGTTTAACTCCTGTTTGAATAGTTAAGTGGGATAAGTTTGTTTTTATCATCGGTATGAGACGGTATATATTTGAGGGAGAGACGGTCACGCTGCTGCTCTCTCTTGCTACGTAAAAATGAGTCGCAATATTGAATGGGCTATGGAAAGGTATGGAGAACAGGCAAATTTATTGCTTTTTCTGGGCCGTTTTGCCTGTTGTCCATACCCACTTTTTCCTGCCGTTATGTAGCAAATGTGTAGTTACCGTGTATTTTCCATGTAATAAATTGAGCAAATGTAAACACAAAAAACACAACGAACCAAACTGAAAACCCAGGTGTCACACAGTAAATAATATTAAGTTACATTGCAAAAACTAAACCAAACCAAATACGCAGCGAGAGAGCGCACTAAAATGGCTTCATTCTTCAACGTTGGCGCTCTGGGAAATGTTTTCTCCACTCCAGTTGGACAGCGCATAGGTGAGTAAAAAAGAAAAACCTTTAAAGCTGCTGCGCCACCCCCGCTCTGCGCTCTCCCCTCCCCCGCTGCACTGCCGGATGTGGGGGTGTGTATATGATTAAATCGTAACATTTTCCACTCAAAAAAGTACATATGTGGGTACATTTGCGCATTTACCAGCGTTCCCTAGGCCGCCCAATCATCAACATAGCATATCAGATGAGGCAGTGTCAGAGCGAAACTGAGGCACTGGAAAATTGAATTTTCACAACTTTCTTTTAGCCTTTTCTGCGTCAATTTCTTGGGGTTCGCACGAACAACAAAGCAACGAAAACTGATTTGTTATTGCCTCACTATTACTATGGTAAAGGCGGCTATCACCCCACCATGCACCCCAAACCGAAACCCCAGTGGCAATGGCGAAATTTCTTGATAAGATTAGCTGGGAGGGGGGCGAAAGTGAGTAGAGCCGAGTAGAGATGGGTGGAAGGGTGTTTGTCATCAAAAGAGGGCCATTGACAGGTGCGACAGATAGCAGTATGGCAATTTGTTGCTTGCGATTATTACACAGAATAATTATTGGCATAGGCAACGCATTTCCCTGCGTTGTTATTGATGCTTCGTTCGCCCCACCTAGCCCTCTGCCTTCCTCTCCAAAGTAATTGCAATTAGTCATCCTACCTTTTTGGGTTTTTGCGTTTGCCTTTTCGGCTTCCATAGTTACATAAAATAGATGTGTTAATTGGTTTCATTTTTCCCTTTGCTTCACATTTTCGCAGTCATTTCCATTTGCCCGCTACGCTCACACAGGCAGGCAAACAAACAAACAAACAAACAAACAGCATGACTGTGCAATGGTGCTGTGCGCTTTTGTTGCTTCATATTTTCATACATATATTGAGCGTTTTTGTTTTTGTTTTGCGGTTTGCCTTATGGGAATGCGCTGAAACCCACCTGTATTTGCGTTTGCGTATGCGTTGGTCTGAAATAAAGTCATTGCACTCAAAATATAATTTAAAACAAAAAATAAGAGAGAGAGAGAGAGAGAGAGACCTCACTCTCTCGCCTGAATTAATTTGTATTAATAATAATAAAATGTGTATTCCATTCTACTTACAAATAAACTATAATTGTTTTTAAAACCCCACACTCTACCCTACAGAGGCTGCCACCGATGCAAACCTTGCCTCGGAAAATTGGGCCGCCAATATGGAAATCTGCGATATGATCAACGAATCCTCGGACACGGCCCGTGATGCCATGCGCGCCATCCGGAAGCGACTCTCACAGAACGCCGGCAAGAACAATCAGGTGGTTATGTTCACACTGACCGTGCTGGAGACGTGCGTGAAAAACTGCGGCAAGGCATTCCATGTTCTGGTGGCACAAAAGGATTTTATCAACGAATTGGTAAAGCTGATTGGGCCAAAGAACGATCCGCCAGCTGCCATGCAGAAGAAGGTCCTTAGCCTCATACAGATATGGGCGGATGCCTTCAAAAACCAGCCAGACCTCAATGGGGTCACACAGATGTACATGGAGCTGAAGAACAAGGGCATCGAGTTTCCAGTTGCTGACTTGGATGCCATGGCGCCCATCTATACGCCGCAGAGGGTGAGTTCTTCCACTAGCCATTTTAGTCTCTTTATGACCGCTCTTTCCCGTTCCACATTTTAGAGTGTGCCGGAGGTTCATCCTCATCCACAGCTGATGGCTGCTCATACAGTGTCGCCGCAGCATGTGGCAGCCGTGACCGCTGCAGCCGCCGCTGCTCCACCCAGTACCGGTCCATTGCATTTGACACCAGAACAGGGGGCAAAGCTGCGATCAGAGCTGGAAATAGTCACCAACAACATGTCCATCCTGAGCGAAATGCTGAGCGTCCTGAAGCCCGGCCAGGAAACCCCCGACGACTATGCCCTGCTCAACGAGCTCACCTCCACCTGCAAGGAGATGCAGTCGCGCATTGTGGATCTGATCGGACGCGTCCAAGACGACGAGCTGACTGCCGAGTTTCTGCGCATCAACGACGAGCTTAACAACTTGTTCTTGCGCCATCAGCGCTACGAGAAGACCCGCTCCCAGGGACTGGGTGGAGGGGCTGTCGTCACCTCGCCCTCGGCAGTGCTGGGCGCTGCCATGGGTCTGCCTGGCGTGACCCCAGGAACGGGTGCAGTTGTGGCCTCGCTTCCCCCGCCGCCCTCTGCCACAGCTGCTGCTGCCGTCAGCAATACCCCGCAAAGCGACCAGCTGTTAATCGATTTGATTGAGAGCAGCGAGGAGCAGCAACTGCAGCAGATACCCCAGAGCTTTGGCCAGCTCAGTCTGGCGGCTGGAAGCGGAGCTGCGGCAGCCCCCAGAGGAGCTGCCGACGAGTTCGATATGCTGGCGCAATCGCGCACCGATGGAAACCAGTGAGTAGTTGCAGTGTGCACCTGTTTGCGTATCACCTACCTAAAACGCGGTCTTTTGCTTAGCAAAACGGACTTGCTGCGCGATATTCCCTCGGTGGACGCGGCTGCCGGCAGTGTCGGTGGCGTGGCCTCGCCCTACAAACAACCAAAGAAGCAGCAACAGCCACAGCAGCAACCACTACGGGCAGCCGGCGAACCGCCGGTGGTAAGTAAAGTGAGTAATTACGCCGCCGGCAAGCGATCTAACTAATGGCGTTCGATCTGTTTCCTTACTTTAAATCTTTAATCCTCGTTTGGCCATTCATTTATTGATTACAAATTTCGAACATTTGTTTTGTTTCTTGGTTTTATGCAAATTTTGTTTGGTTCCTTCGTTCGTTTCCCCTTTTTGGGTTTCTTCTGTGTTTATTCTGTGTGGCGCGCCCAAACAGTCGACGAAAGAGAATGAGATCGATGAAATGGAGGCGTGGTTGGGCAGCTCAGTAAGTAGCAACAAAAAACAAAAATACTTTGCATCTAGTCCTTTTTCTAAGCTCATCTTACACACAGACACACACACGCACATATTCGTCCTTGGTTCTTCGTTTTACATCAATTAATTTTGTTTTTTCTGCTTCTTTCACATCCTTTACCCCATTTGTGTGGATCATTGATCATGATTAATGAGCGTTTTCTGCTTCCACCCACCACAGAAGGACGTCGATGGGATCGAGGAGCTGACCAGCTCAGAGTTTGACAAATTCCTTGAGGAACGCGCCGCTGCCGCTGAAAATCTTCCAACGATCAATGCATCGAATTCTGCCGCCAGTGCCACGAATACGAACACGACAGGATCTGGAGGCGACAGCTTACGAAAGACACCAAAGAAACCTGGCGCCGATGAGGATCTGCTTGCACTCTGAGTGATCACCGGCCGGATCCTCCACTACACCATCAGCTCGTAATTGTTTACTCTTTCAAATGTTACCCACACCCTAAACCTAAACATTATCGTCTTATATACATAACGTCTATATGATAGCGCATATACATATTAACACACACACGATTATGTACCAGGCTTTCCGTTTTTTTGTATTTTAAATGGTATTTGTATTTTGTTTATTAACGACTTGAATTACTTTATTTTCTGTGGAAATTCCAACAACTGCAACGAGAACTACATATGCATATATTGTAACTTATTCCAAAAAGATCTTCTGTTGGTCTAATTGTAAGCCACACCACACACACGTCTATTGCATATATTTGCTGGTAATTTAATGTATTATGTTTAAAGTCTATTTGTTGTTTATTTATACATATATACATATACATACATTATAAAGCTAATTTATTTTACAAAATCAAAACAATCGAAAAGAAAAGAACTAAGACAAAACGAAACAAGCAAGAAGAGAAATACAATTCAAGCACGGACTCAATGTAAGATGTATCGTTGCGGGGGGTGTTGCTAGTACTATAGGAGCACGCTACGAGTCGTTTTCGATATTCATTGCTTGCGTGGCCGCACCAAACTCCTCCTCATCTTTGTCGGTGTCCTCACTGTCGGAGATGATTTTTCTCTGCTTGGAATGCCTTTCTGGTCGCTCCTCCAGCTGCCTCTTCAGATCTCTGATGTGTGCCTTTTTGCTATTTATAAGTAGAATGAACTTTTTCAGCATTTCCGTCTCTTTTTGTTTGGATGCCGTCACGTATTTCTCGTACTCTTCGAGCATAACCTTTGTTTTCTGCTCAATATCTGGGGAAGGAGCCGGCGTTGCCTGCTGCTGGCCCAGATCAATGGCTCCATCCAGCAGCTGATAGCAGTTGGACACCTTCTTGAGCGGAATATCCAGGTATAGCGTCTCGTAGCCGGCGCATTTGTACAGTTTGAAGGCCTGTGGCTGCTCGTCCTCTTGGGATATCTCGTAGTCGAAACCGGTCAATCCCATGTGCGTGGTGAGGGCTTTCTTGCATTCGGCAAGGAATGCCTCGTACTCCAGGTCGAGATCATTGGCGGCACTGCGTATTTCCGTATATTTCAGACTGCCCCGATAATTTTGGTTGTTGAATGTGGACAGGAAGTGGAACTCGGCCTCGTCGTCCAGCCAGTTGCAGCGGGCGTAGATGAAGGGCTTTACATCCACTTGGCTGTGGGACAGTTGGGTGCGTTGAAGCAGCTTAACAACGAAACATGTCATTATTTGTTTTACTATTATTATTCTAATCTTGTTTCACAATGTTTTGTAAACAATTCTTTTACTGTTCGCTACCAAACAGCTGCAGTGTTGCCAGAGTTTGAGAGTCACCATAAGCTAGATTGAAGAAAAAATAAGTAGAATAAGCTAAAAATTAAAAAAAGCTTAAAAACAAGATAACCATAAAAACACATAAACGTAATGGCTAAGTGTATTTTATTCATACTTATTTTTGAATTTTTTAAATTAACGGCATGATTTTATCCACTTCACTATGCTATGGCCGAGTGAACAGCAATGTACAAAGTGCTGCAGCCTTTTGCTCCTCTGTTTTTGAGGACTTTCTAACAAAAAATACCTTTTCTAGTTTGTGTCATGCTTGCATTGGACGCAATATGTTTCATGAACATAATTATTAAATGAAATTTTAAATAAGCTAGATTTCAAGCTATAAGTTTTAAAGCTATTTAATTTGAAAATAAGAAAAATCTAGCTTAAAATAAACTAAAATGGCAACACTGAACAGCTGATGCTTGTATGACTTTTCCAGCACTCTGATTCAAGTACTGCACATCACTGAAAATTCTCTCTTTCTGTATAAAGTCAGGGGGAGAAATTAAATTCAACCACTTAAAACGCGCTAATTTTTCCGCTTCTAGTTTACGTTTTATTGTTTGAATTGATCGAAAGGACAACATGATTCTTGACAATGTTGTGGAGTTTGCCAGCTACTGGTGGTTCCGTTACCTCATGGTGTGTATGGGCATTGTGTATTCAAGAAGCGTATTCCAAGAGCTAATTGGTTGTCGGTATCTTTCGTGTCGTTAATTGGCTTCATGTTTTTTAATTTCCTCAGGTTACTGAGCTATATATGGTGGAGAAATGGGAACGTGTAACGATACGTAAGTATTGGGACAAAGAATCTCTCTTTATTAGCCAAGGAATTGTCCAATTCGTCACACATTTAGTGCGAATTTTCAGGCTTATCACGACCGACGCCTTCTCAATTATTGCTCTCATTCACAGACGTGCTCTTTATGGTGCTCTTCTGCGTATTCTGGTACTTCAACTATTCGGTGCTGCTCTCTCTGGCCGGACTAATCTCACCCAACACACTTATTGCGGATATCTTACCCGGCGCGCATCAAGGACAAGGTGTCAAGGTCATATAACTGAAGCGGAGCCACCACTGAGTCACACCGTGTGTTTACTTCTGGTTTTCCAATAATTGAATATCTGCGTATCTGTAATTGTGCCGTGCCTCTCCACGCGCCAGCTTTATCTAATCCACATTCACATCCACATGCACTCCACAAGGCGTTTGCTTACACATCAATCACATCACAACCCAGCCGGATAAGGTGGAGTTCCTGTATATGTTAATCGTTTGTGGATCTGCAGCCTGAATGGCAGCCACTGGCAGCCCATCACTGTTTAAGGTAGCCTTAGTTTATACGTACTCCGTAATCCTTACGCGCTCGAGTGTTGGATGCGAAATAATAGTTAGGGAATAAATCTGAATATGATGAATATAATGGGCCTTTACTTTTGAATTCTTTTCGTGTTTTTATTTGTATAATTTTGAAAGAGGTACTCCCTTGTTTATGCCGACTTGGTTAACTTGTACAATCGAATTGAAGTGTTTTCCATTTTTTTAATTACGTTTACGCGCTAAAAAAATTATTCTGCTGCTTCTATTTATCCGTACTTTAAACGTTACTTTGCAGTTCAATGCCCTAAATGTTACAATTCATTACAAAAATATATATGTAGATAGCCTATGGGGGGGTTTATGCGTATTAAATATTGTAGGATTGGGGCGTTGTGTGTATAGAAAAGTTTGGGGGTGCAGTGTTTTGTTATTCGAGTGGAGACTGCACACGAATATATCCAAATCAGAAATGCCAAATGCATTCGGATGCAGATGGTAGTAAAAGTTATATATATATATATATACATATATATATATATATAGTATAGTTATAGTGATAGTGATAGTGATAGCTATTTTGTGGTGGATTTTTGGGACTTGGGACTATTACAATTATTCTTACAATCTAAACTGCCGAACAGAGCCGAACTGTCGACTGAGCGATCGATCCTCTATTTATCTCCATCCATGCATTGGCCTGGCTTTAAACTTACTACATATTCAATTTAAGAAAAAAAACTTACTTAGAGTTTGCAAAGGAGCAGCATGCGGTCGTCACACGCTCCACAGGCTCTCCGTTTCGTAGATTACAATATTAAACTCCGCCATAGATTAATGGCCCTGCTCTGTATAACTAACTGTACAATCGGGTTGGTTGGCTTGCTATCCGCCAGTTATCTAGCCAGATAATACACTCCTGCTCGCGACTCGACTTGTAGAGTGCCCAGGACTGGGGCCAGTCTTCTCACTCAGGCCACGGTTCTATTCAGGGACACATTGACGGTCACTGATAGTTAGGACGTGGGTGACGTACCATCCAGCAGCACCGATCCCATTTCCTCGTTCTGCTCCACGTACACCAGTCGAGGATCCTCGCCGAATTCCAAACGCCCGTACCGTGCCAGCAACGGCGACTTGTTGTTGACCTGCGGCGACGACGACTTGCTGTTGACCTGCGGTGCCCTTGGCCACTTGCGCTTGGGCTTCGTGTGCGTCAGCATGTGCGACTTGAGGTTCGTCGACTGAGCAAAGCACTTGGAGCAGCCGTCGATGGGACAATGGTAGGGTCGATCCCCAGTGTGTATCCTGACATGGGTGCGCAGATTGAAGTCGAGAGAGAAACGTTTTCCGCAACCCTCAAAAGTGCACTCGAATGGCTTCTCGCCAGTGTGAACCAGCTGGTGGCGCTTTAGTTTGGAGCTCTCCACGAAACTCTTGCCGCAAACATTGCACACGTGCCCGCGTGGACCGTGCGTATGCATATGCTTCCGCATGGCTGAGTGATTCCTGAACTCCTTATTGCAGCCGCGATGGGTGCACCGAAACTTTGGCTCCTCGTCCTCCTCGGCAGCGGCCCCGGCAACGGCAGCCGTCTGATTGCTGGCGGCGGCGACTTGGTTGGCCAGACTGGCTGCTGTTTTGGTCACGGTGGTGGCTCGCGGGCGCGCCAAATTGCTGGTAGCCACCAACGGCGGCGGCGCCGCATTTAATCCTACTGCAGGAACAGACGCGCTGCTTATTTGCCTTTTTGCCGCCTTGGCCTGGGCACCTGTGGTGCTTTTCAGCCGCACATTGGTACTGCTGTTCTGTAGCACCAGCTTCGGGAGCGACAGTTGGGCTGCTGTTGGGCAACGGTGTGTCTTCGCGCTGCCTGTCATCGCCTGAGGTGGTGGGGCTGCAGCTGGAGCTGGTATCAACTCCACGTTGTGCGGCATGTTCTCGATGAGTTCAATTGAGCCGTATGCCTCATCCAGATGATTATCCGCGTAGATGAACTGCTCGCTCAGCGGCTGGCTGTCCTCCTCGCCCTTGACATCGCCCATAAATGCATTGACAACCTCTTCCACATCCGTCACCGCAGATGCGCTAAAGGGATCCGGCAGGATAACGTATTCGTTGCCGATGCCATCGCTGAGGACATCGTGGTGCATGTTGTTGCTGATTATGTGCTCATCGATTATGAGCTTTGGCATATTGGAGGAGGAGGCTTCAGTGCTGGTAGATGAGGACACCACGGGGTGGACCACCGACACGTGCGGATCGTCCAGGTCCTCCTCCTCCTCTTCCTCGTCCTCAGAGTTGAGGGACGACCAGAGCGTTACGTTGAACTCATCCTGGGTGATGCGAATGGGGACCTTGGTCTGTTTCCAGCGCTTTGTGGCGGCGTTTGCCCTGCGCTCCACTCGACTGCTGTTGCCAAAGAGCTTTAGGTCCTTAAAGTCCTGGGCATTGGAGCTGTTTGAATCCTCCGCGGTTTTCATGTAAAAGTCGCTCTCCAGCTGCTCCTCCTTGATGTTGGTGGCCTCGAGGGTGGTCAACACTTCCGAGGCTATTTCAAAGGCATTCGTCATGGCCGGTACTACGTCCAAATCCTCGTCCACATCCTCCTCGTCGCCATCGCAGGAGGACGACATTCGCATAGCGTCCTCATCAATATAGTCCTCATCCTCGCTGGTCTGCTGCATTATAATTGGCGGTGGCACGGCATCTGCCTCGGCTACGGCCCCTGAGGTAAACCTACCCAGACGATCAACCGCCGGGTAGTATTCGTAGACATCGCCCGAGATGAAGAACTCTCCGGTGTCCACAACAATATTCGTCTCATCCTCATAGTCGTCGATAATCTCCTCGATGAGGAAGCTCTCGCTGCCGCCGCCCGCAGGCTGCAGCACGCTGGTGTACGGTTCGTGATCGACTATAGCATTTGGGGGCTGCTGCAAGACCTGTGTGAAATACAACGACGATGCATTCGTGCTGTGGCCAGACGAGGAGGATGAGGTCATTGGCAGGGGCACTGCCGCCGCTGCTAACGAAAGATTCTTCACAATGGGAGCCCGGAGCTGGTGCTGATGCTGCAGTTGGAGTTGGGGCTGAAAGTTGCCGCCACCGACGCCGACGCTGTGATGATGACTTGTCATCGTTGTTCTGTTCCGTCTTTCTTGGGCCTTCTGTGTGTGTGTATATATTGCACGGTGCGGTGCGTGTGTGTTGGCGCGCGTCTGTGTGTGCGCGGTTTGGTGGCCACTGCGAATTGGCAATTAGTACTTCGCAATTTTCTAGTGTCTATTCGTAGAATATAAAAAACATACCCGTTCGATTGCGTAGCAGGCTGGCTGGGCTTCTTTTTGTCGGTATTTGTATTTTCCCTCCTCTACGACTTCCCTATTGTCATTAGTGCTGCGTGGGGCTGCGCGACGGCAGCAGCAGACGTCGCTTGGCTTTGTTGCTCTTCACGACCTCCACGCTGTTGCCTGGCACTTAATTATTGCACAAATAGGATCCGGCTGGCTCAATTGTTTGGCAACAATGTAAATATTTTGAATTTTGCCGGTAAATATGGCGGAATTGTATTTTCCAAAAACTTTCTCTTGCGTACACTTTTTGTTGGTGTTGGTAGACAGCGGTCCGACACCCTCGAATGCAACCCTGTGCGCTGTTTGTGTATTTTGTGTATATGCGCCTGTGCACATATTCAAAGTCGAAAATATATAGAAAATAGTATAGATGATGCACTCTGCCGGTAGGTTTATATTTGCTTCGCGAATTTTTTTTATAGAATAGAATCAATCAGTCCATGGAAAAATACTTTATTTATTCATTATGAATATTTGCATTCTGACTATCGATAACGATGTATTCTATTGGCAGGGCTGCCACACTAATTTAAATCCACATTTCAAAATAAACTTATAAAATCATTTTATAGTAAGTATAGTAGATCAGACCCAGACCCACTATGCGCTCAAACAAATTTTTTAAGAAGTAAAACTTCTGGCAAATAAACTAGTTTTAGTTTGGAATCAACGAACGGTTCATGCTGCTCCTTAATTGTCTCAGCAGAGTTTATAAAATCAGACTTATTAAATCGCACCGCCTTGGGGACACTGCCAGCTCCGGGTATATGCAGCACTTTTGTTTGGCTGGGTGTCTGCACAATTGACCTGCTACAAAGCACCGGCACGCGCTCGAACTCCTTGCTTACTTCCAGGCCGTAATGCCCGCACTGCTGTTTCAAATGCGTTGGCGAGTCGATTAGCATCACACGCAACAAGTAAGAGCCCGGGACATCGAACTGCTTGTTATAGGCATGCGTAAACATTTGAAGAACCCGTCTAGAAGTAGAGATGAAAGGAAAAACGTCAGCATCTAAAGAAAAGCACTCATATTTTACATTACCGTCTCATCGTCTGTAACTTCGTGGCGGCCAAGGCACAGAGTATGTGGGGCAGTTTGGGCAATCCCATTAGGACGCGGTAAAGATTCCCTTGATGATAGAAAAGGCTCATCTGAAAGCAGATCTTAAACGTTGGATCCTGGCGAACATGGTCCGGCAGGGTAAGGGCCCGCTCCATGGATTCCGGGCAGCCCAAATTGAACACTTGATACACAGACTCGATGAAACACCGTCGTTGAATATCACGAATTGTATGACGGCTTTTCGATTCATCTTCGTCAAGAGTCTTATAGCAGCGGAGCACTCCAGTAAGACAATCCTGGAGATGTTGGTCGCATATCTTTGCATCGAACAGTTCAATTGGTTCGTCACACAGACGGTATCTGCTGTAGGCCAGAAACATCACAATTGGCTCCAGGAGCTTTGCAGTCTGTTGGGCATCAAACATCTGGATGACAATCTCGCGGCGCACGGCACGCAGGCGATCGAAAATGAAATCATATGCCATGCGGTAGGGCATTCGGTTATCCATTACAATTCTGCAAGGGGCAGGTGAGCAACAGGACAGGCTTATCCTTATGTTAAAATCCAAAATACTTACTCTTTTAGGAGATACTCAACAGTCCGAGTCAAACATTCCATCGTGCGCATATCCTCGCCCTTGGGCATTTTGACGTCAGCGGCAGAGCGGGTGAATTCTTTGACCAGGATCCCGGGCACGTTTTTTTGTCCATTCTTGAGCTCAAAAAAGTGAAGCATTCTCTCGCGCACCCGCCTGGGAGCAACATGAATAGTTAATATTAACCTATTGGAACCTAGAACTTACATTTTTATCTCGGCATTGGGGCAGAATTCATTACAGGTGCCTTGGATCTTGGCCATTTGTAGGAAATCACACTTTTCTAAGGGGCTCCTCATTACTTTAAATTTATTATAAAATTATTAAGACCTGTTTTCTTAATTTAAAATCTTAAAAGAAAATAGGATTAAAATCAACAAATCGAAACTAGAATGCCGATAACTTTATAAACAGCTGACTGGGATACAATTGTCAGAGACAAGAAACAAAATCTAATATGTAAATAAATATTAATTTCTCTCCAAATTCACACACTATGTACGCGCGTACCTTTCGAAAATTAACACAATACTATTGCGATGCTTGGAAACTTCTTAGTGCTCGCTTTAAACAAGCTACGGCCACAGAATTAGTCCAGAGGCGGAATTCTTGGAAGAGCTTGGTAACCCTGCCAGTATTTGTTGTTGCGCGCTCCGTTGCTTGGAAAGTGGCCATGGCGAGTGAGGAAAAGCCGAAAAAGAAACGGACCCAAAGCAAGGAAAAGTACGTTACCACCCTGGAGGCAAAAGCACCACACTACCTAAATTCACTCAAGGTGAGATGGGAGCAGCTGCACGAGATACCCGGCCTCTTCGCGTACCAACTGGAGAAGACCCGCCAAAGTCGTGTACTGCCGGGAAAGTACCAGTTCTACACCGAGGTAAGTGGAAGCCCACAAATAAACAAAAAATTCAGTTACATCGTCCCTTGATATAGCTCAATCCAGATCGCACACTGAAGCGCCGCATCCCTCAGACCATTGAGAACCTCAATCCCACGTTCAAGCCAAAGCAGTTCAACTTCAACAAGGTCGACGCCCTGGAGGTGATGTTGACCATCGACGACGTTGACAATACCGACGTCCAGATGATAATCAACAGGAGCCCCCTTACTAGGTTCCACACTGTCGTCTGTCCCGACGTGAAGAACAATCTGGTGCAAAAAATCACTGCTCATTCGCTGAAATTTTGCATCAGCTTCATGCGGGGACTAGACGACAGTGACATTCGCATGGGCTACAACAGTCCTGGGGCTTTGGCCTCCGTGAATCACCTGCACTTCCACCTGCTGTACCTGCCCAGAGATCTGTACATAAACAACGTGGAACTGCAAGAGCTGGCCGGTGGGTATGTGTATCGTTTGAGCCAGTCGATGCCTACCGAGGCGATCTGTGTGGTCTTCGAGGCCAATGACGACGAGGTCGAGGTGCAGGAGAAGGTTAACAACCTGCAAAAGCTTGCCAATTGGATGTGTGGACAGAATATACCCCACAATCTGTTCATTACCCAGGATCGACGACCTGGCAAGCGGGGCAGTGTGCAAGTATTTGTCTTTGCGCGATCCCACTACTGTGTCAACAAGGATTTGGCTGACTTTAATGTGGGATTCTGTGAATTGGCTGGATACATTCCCGTGGGAAGTAAGTTCCCATATTGTAATCCATCAAAAACTATTAGTACAGTGCATTTTTCCATCGGCAGATTCAGAAAAATTGGATAATCTCACAGAACCGCTGGTTATAAAAAGAATTCGTGAGGTCACCGGCACAGCCCCGCAGGCGTTATACACTCGAATGAAGCAGATAGTGGACGGAGAAGATCAGTCGATTTGGGATCAGCCTTTAACGTTGTAAAAAGAATACACATAAAGGCCAAGAGGCTATTTATTTACACTAAATCTGCTAAATCACACGGCAGCTGCGGCGAATCCTTTGCCCATCGTTGCTTTGCTAATCACTTTCCGGTTCGGTGCGATGCTATAATCTACCTGGGAGTCCCCGTTCTGCCGCCTTACTAGCTCCGTCAGCTGCGGCAGGCCATCCCTGGCTATGCTCTCCCTTATCGCCTCAAAGAAGGCCATGTAGTGATGCAGATTGTGGCTGTAAAAGGTAAGAGAGTAATCATTGGCCTTGCCATCGAATAAAGAATTCTAGATTTCACTTACACCATCAGTAGAATGGGGCCCAGCAGCTCGTTGGTCTTGTACAGATGATGGACGTAGGCACGCGTGTGCTTCTGACAGCTTAGGCAGACGCAATTTTTTAGCAGAGGCGAGAAATCCTCCTTTATAGCATCGTCCGTGATGTCAAGAAAGGGGACGTGCACGACTTCATCCTGGACAAAGGTAAACGTCAAGGCCTTAAAGTTGACTGCGGCACAATAGGCGTAGGAAGTGTCGAACAGATCCATGCCCAGGCCGATAAGCTCCAGCGTGGTCAAAGGTGTATAGGCACCCGGAACCATTCGCGGCTTTTCCTCCTCCAGCTGCCCAACACAATGCTCGACAATGGGCAGCAGCTTGGAAGCGTCCAGTATGGTTGCAGACAAGCCATTCGTGTGGAATCCCTCGAAGACGTAGCCGCCATAGCTGCCTGATGGCTGTTCGAGGGCATGTTTGATGGACTGCGTCCGCGCAAAGGTGTTGTAGCCGCCCACAATGGGGGCCAGCAGGGTAGAGTCCACTTTGCTCTTGTGCTCGTAAATGTAGTGCATGAACTTCTCGGTGCGATCCACGGATTTCTGAACGCGTTTCTTGGCGCTCTCTGCATTGGTGTCGGCATCGCAGAGCCCCTGGTAGATGTCTGGCCTGAGGCTAGCCACCATTTCCATGTATCGCTTGGGCGAAAGCGACTCCTTGCCACGGCGCGTGAACAGCGGCTGTATGTCCCGGTCGTTGCCACCCGCCGGCGTCGTCTCGCAAGGATCCCGTAGGAGCAGCACATTCAAATGTCCTGGAAATCCAATGTAATCACTCAGTCCCCTATCTGCACTGTTAAACTGGGCCAGTGCCTCCGACATATGGTCGATAGTCGACAGGGTCAGCTCCAACAGCTGTGGCGTCTCCGTCACATGGCTCTCAAAAACGTCGGCGGACAAATACGGAATGCTGCCGCCTTTTGTTGTCTGCATAAGCAGCGGTGTCCGCTGCCCTGGTGCTCCATCCTTTATGTGCAGCCGGCCCAGACGACCACTGTTCTTGGTGAGGCTCTCTATCACGAATTTCATGCCGGTTCCCCTCTATTTGGAATATCTTTAGAATAAAATTCCATTTGGATTTATCGATCAAATATACGCACGACTTATCGCGGTCTTATTTATTCCGTCTGACCCTCAGACCGATGCAAATTCGATTCCTCAAATTTTGCTGTTCGGTCTAATGTTACAAACTAACTAGAACCCTCAGCGCTAAACACATATTTTTATCCGATTTATTAATTGATTTTCTACCATATTGGCACAGTAAAAAGACTCCTTTTTATAAGATTGTTTATAAAATTAGGTTTAAACAAAGAAGGGTCACAAAAATATGCCATTTTTTACATGGCAACTACACGGTAACTACATATTTGCTACAGATCAACAACATATTTACGGAGTATGGACATTTGTATACCCTATTTCTTGTACTTAATGTTAAAATTCTGTTTTCCAAGCTTCTTTGAAACGTAATTAAGAATGTATTTTTCACAGATTCAAATTTTTTTATATATTCATGCATTTGATTAAATGACTGTATATACATCGTAATATATATTTCGTTGAGATAGCTTTTAAACCAAGACTGATTAGTTTCAGCATTCATTGCTGCCGGAGATGACAAAAATCTCTTTAAATATATAATATTCGTCTCCCAATACAAAAACAAGCCCGCAGTTTTTCAAATTAACTAATATAACCGCAGCAAGGAATAAATACAGTAAAATAATGTCAATAATAAATTTAGGAAACTAATAAAGCAAAAACTTTGATCAAAACAGTGTAACTTTATTTTCGCTTTCCTACGAGCGTTTTGCTAGTTTTTGGGGCCTCTCATCTGCTCGCCGCTGCGCTCCTCTTCTGTTCGCCCCATTTTATGTTGTATGCGCAGCGTACTTGATGGGAATTGTTGTCATTCATTGTTTTTGCTGTTTTTCAGTTATGGATATTCGGGCCCGCTCGCACTTGTTCTGAGCATATGCATATACACAATATGTATTGCACATGTGCATATGAAGACAATACATACATATGTTGTCGTTTTCCTCAATTTGTGTGTGTTTCTGTTCCGTTCCGTTCTGTTCGCGTCGTTCATTGATTTCCTAATTAAGTTTATAATTAAAATTAATTGAAAAATTACTCTCACACACACATGCATATGCGCATGTATGTACATATGTGCAGACCAATCTATGTAAATTGCCCTGTTGCCGCCGTGTTGTAACAACAAAAATTTGTGTGAGAATTTCTATTAACGACGAAATTTTTGCAGCGCTTTTGAATTTGAAAACGAAATTGTGCCAAAAAAGCACTGTAGAGGTAATTGTTAGAACAATAATGCAGAGGCTGTTTAATTGATGATTTCCTTGCGCTGGCTATATTTAAAAAAATTAACAGCGATATGTATCTTTTAAACAAAAGTCATAGGGCAACTAACTATAGCCCATGCGCCCTTTTCTGTATCCATAATACAACTATAAAAATTCCTGGCACAAGACACTGAAATAGCCATAAATTGTGGCTTAAGTATTATTCCTTGGCCACTTCTGTTGGATAGGCGGAGGAGGTGGCGGCGGCGCGAAAACATACGGTTCTAAGGTGGCCAGCTAGGGGGTTGCCAGAACCTTCGCTGTTCGTGGCCTTGAGATCGCAGGCAGAGTCATTGCTACCTGTTTGGCTTTGCTGGGCAATCTGAATGTCTTTAATGTCTGGAGTATCGTAAAAAATTGTAAACCTATTCCGTGCACTTGGACAGACAATAAAATTTCGCATTTATACGCTTTCCAGGTGGTCCTGCCAAAACCCGACGATGTGGCAACTCTAGGCAAATGAACTGTTTTTACCTGCACAAATACAAGAGCGCGCGTCGCTGCTTCTGCGAGGGGGGTACGGCGACGGGGCAACCAACGGATAATTTAGTGGAATTTTCAAAAATAGCAAAGCCAGCAGCAGCCCCAGCCATATCCATAATCCTACAGCGAGAGCGCAGAGGAGAGCAGCAGCAACAACAGGCATAATAATCAAAGATTAAATCAGGTTTATATGGAAAGGGTTAGGTTAGCAAAGCAGCAGCAGCCTGTCGCAGGAAGAGAGAGGAGAAATACACGTTTCCTAGTCTCAGTTGGCAACAACAACAACTACACACCTACAACTGATTGCACACACACGCAAACGCAGGCAAACGAGAGAGCGACTTAAGTGAGGGAGGGAGAGCAAAAACGCGAGAGCAGTGAGTGTGAAAGAGAGCTAAGATTAACGTTGCCGCAGCAGAGCTGTTCAGGCAGCATTGTACGCTTTTCGCTCTTCGCTCATTTTCTTTCGTTGTGTGCTCCGGCAATGTCGTGTTTCGGAACGGTGGAAATAATAGCAACAACAAGATAAGATTTTCCGTTTTTCCGTATGGAGCAGCGGCATTTGTTTTGAAAGTAAAGCAAAAGCGAGCCAGAAAAACGAAATATAAAGAAACGCCGACAGCGACGAAAGACCGCGCCTCGCCTGAATCCAAACGGTGTTTTTTTTTTTGTGTACGGCGTGCGTGTGTGTAGACGAATATTAGCCAAAAAACCACTGAAAATAGTGCAAAAAGAGCCCTCAAATAATTATAATAATAAAGAAAGCCAAGAAATAATAAAATAGGCAAAAAGACAGATGAGGAGGCCCGAGAGAGCAGGCCCCCAGACGCAAAGCAAAGACCAGTAATACCAAGACCCCAAAAGGCCAGACCAGTTTCAAAAAAAGCCTATTTGCAGGGCCCGCCGCCAGATAGTAGTGTACGTGCGTGTGTGTTTTTTTCTCGTTATTTGTTTCCGTGTGTGTGTGTGTGCTATAAGAGACCACATACGAGGAGGGAAAGGCCGTTTCAAGGAGCGGAAAGGCAGCAGCAACGAACAGTGCGCGAGCAAGCAATAAGAATAATAAATTACACTTTGCTATAATAAGAAAAATTTATACATACCTATACACACACAGCCATACCGACGTGCCAGTGCCCCACACACATGAGCACAAGTAATGCTGGCGTCTGAGTGTGTGTGCGCTGCGCTGCTTGTGGAAAATTGTAATAAAATATGAACCGCAGCTAGCCCGCAAAGGAAGCGGCGAGAGAGAGAGAGAGAGAGGAGGAGAAGCAGAGAAGCGGCAGTAAAACGAGAAATCGACTGGAAAACCCACAACAAAAAAACCAAGGAAAAGAATTGAGTGAAAATATCGAAACTGCATCAAAGAAAAGCTGCTGCTACTACTACTATAATCATTGTATTCATGTGCCATTTAATTGTTTGGGAAAAGCTTTAAAGGGATATTCTACACCATACTATATCTGTAAGACGCCACAGTATTAGCAACGCAACACATTAACATAGAAACACACACACATATAAATATATATATATACATACCCCCCGCGCGTGCAACATGTCCTGCATATCGAGCAATTTCAGCTCCTTCTTCCTCAATTCGCTCAACGATCCCTCGGAGTTTTCCAAGTACTTGAGCAATGGCGAACTGAAATGCACTCAATTCGAGGAATTTCAAGTGTTTGGCTGCGGCGCAGGCGCATCGTCGGGACAGCAGCAGCAGTCGCAGCAGTTGCAACAACAACAACTACAGTATTCCCACACACATTTATCCAATGGCTGCGGCACGGATTTCTCCTACGAGGCAGCAGCGGCGGCGTCATCGTCGTCGTCCCATACGCAACGAGAAACCTGCCTGCCTGCCAGCTCAGGTAGTGGTAATCCGACGACGACGCCGAGTTCTCACTCGCACACAGTCGCTGCCGCCGCCGCCGCTGCCGCCGCCTATGTCGCTGCAGAGTCGGGTGTCGCCGCAGCGCCGCCATCAGCAGCAGCAGCTATACCGGGGGCAGCAGGAGGATCAGTCGTAGGGCCATCCCCTGCAAGCAATCGCTGGCCCACGGCGGTGGCCACCCCCAATGGGGGATCGGTATCGGTGCCCCAGCACTTTGATGGTTCCTTCGAGTTTATAAAATATCTGCGCCACTCCACGGACTTTACGCCGGGAACAGCCAGTGCCACGGCGGGCGATAGCTCCGCAGCTGCAGCAGCGGCAGCAGCATCAGAGAAAAGCACCAAGGGAGTACCGGGAGCAGCACTAGCGGCAGTGGCAGGCGCTGGCACACCACCCCCGCCACCCCAATCGCCCGTGGCCAGTGCGGGGCTCCTCGACCTGGACACAAGCACCTCCCAGAAATCGCGTTCCGCCTCCCGTAAGGTGGCCGCACTTCTCTCCTCAGTTTCACGCGCCTCCAATAGCCACCAGCTGGACACGAGCTCGTCCGCGCTGGACGTCTTTGACCACGATTCAAAGCAGACCATCTTCGACCTGCAGCACATGGCCTCCAACGGGTCCTCCAACTCAAACGAGTCCTCGCTGGAGTTACTCGCCTTCCCCAACTCCCATTTGAATGCCTCCAACTCGAATACCTCGTCGGAGGGCGCTGCCTGCGGTAGTGCCGGGGAGTTTGGTGGCATTCTGACGGGCGCCAGCTCCTCTTCGACCGCCTCCTCCTCGTCGCACGCCCCCAAGCTGCTCGGCAGCTTCGTGATCAAGGAGAACTTCGAGGTGCATCCCTCTCACAAGGTGGAGGAGGGCATCTTCCAGCACATGAACAAGCTCCCCTCTAAGAAGAAGGACACGCTCAAGCAGCTGGGCGTCCGATTCACGGGCCAAATGACGCTGACGGACAAATCGATTGTGGTCGAGAATTTCATCAAGTTTTGCGAGGTGAGTAAATGGAAAATGGAAATGGAAATGAGAACGGGAGCGGGAGCGGGAATAGGAGGGGTGGTCTCTGGGTTGGCGGATGTTGGGCTGTGATTAGGCTTGGGGTTGGGCTGGAGGAACGAGTCGAATTTCGTGGACCTCTGCCATGCATATACTGGTGTGTAGGTGTCTGTGTGTGGAGGAGGGATTCTACGTGTATATAGGGAGTTTTGAGCGCTCTCCTTTTTCCTCATTTTCATATGCAATTTAAATATTTGCACATATGTACGCATTTATTATGATGGCAACCATCGCCGGCAGGGAACACCGTTAACATTTTCACACCCTGAACGTAACTATTTCAGCTTGATTTTTCGTATATTTCCACACAGAAACATGCTACTCTTTATCAACTTCCTGAAATACCCAGAATAGGGGTCCCCTATTTTATACTTGAGTCATACTCTATAGTCAATTCCAGTCCCAGTCAAAGGTACAGAACCTTCAACTTGAGTATTATTTTAGTGAAAATTGCACCTTTCTTGATGTGCCCTTATCTAATCATTACATTATCAAAGATTCCCCAAGGGAACATCTATGCCTGGCTCCAATGTTATGGGGAATCCCACTTCGGGATGTGGGGATGATAGATCCCAGTTGGAAGCATCATTATCGGCGAATGTTAATATTCAGCTAATGGAAGTGTGGTATTAGTTATACCCCTGCTTAAGTTCCAGCATCCCATCAGATCCCACGATATGTATTTCGAAAATCCAACCATTTGCAGGTACCCAAAACGCCGAAAATATACATGGGGAAAATGGGGATATATTCATAATATAAACATGCACCCTATCCATATCCCCAATACACAGGCACATTTCTCGGCCCATTATGTGGCCCACCCACCCACTTCCACTCCCCCACCCCCACACCCACAAAGAGGACTCTCTCTCACACTCACACAAATGTCATTATAAATTGTAATAACAGGAGAAGCAGCAGGGACGCTGGCGTCGCTGTCGACGCTGACTGCAGCCAACCACAAATTCCGCATACAACTGTAATCATGTGTGCTCCAATGTATGTATGCATGTATGCTGTGTGGGTGGGTGGGGGCTGTGTGCGTGTATGTGTATGCTTCTAAACACCTATACATGCTCTGGATGGTGGCCGTGGACGTTCCCGGCCCCGGTCTCTCCTTTCTTCATACATTTGGCGCCCTTTTCAACACTATGCCAGAGTCAACCCCACAAACACTCTGCCATGCTCATTACGTTCGGCTTTATCAGAGGAACACACACACACACAGAGAGAGAGAAAGCGCCCATCTAGATTTGTCGACCACCCCTCCGGGCACACACACACATATCTACATAGAAACACTCGCCAAACTATGTACAAAATGGCATTGATGGCATAATACAACAACTACGAAAAGAGGGAGACAGAGAGAGACGTGGAGGAGGAGCAGTGGAGGAGAAAGAAGTAGAGGAAGCACGGCTCTAACCTTATTTCAACATGGTGTGGGTGGGCAGGCAGCGGGGTGGTAGGGGGCTGAGGAATCCGAATATTACAACATTTTAGTTCTAAGACGCTCTCGCTCTTCCACCTACTTTACTGCTCCCTAACTCAAAATTTGTGACGCTCTCTCACGTTAGGATTCTCTTGCTTTCTGCCACCCACCTTGCTCTTTCTCTCTCGCTCTCGCTCTCTCTCTCTCTCTCTCTCCTTGGCTCACGCTCAAAAACTTACTTGGAAAAGGCGGCTCCTGCTTATGCCCGCTGCATCTGTCTCTGCTGCTGCTCAAACTACCATGTCGCCCATGGTATGTGTAGTAGTGTCTCTCTTTGTGTGTCTGTGGCGTCTGCGGGTGTGAGTGAGTGTGGGGGCAACCCCCAAAATTCTCAAGGCAGTAGCCAGGCGGTAGGTGGTGCTATTGAGTAATTGTATATTCCCCCAATGCCCCCGCCACTGTTCTTACACACATACACACACACGCATACCATCATCAAGTTACTTGAGGGGATTCCGTGGGGCTGGCTTCCGTTGGACTGTCCGCTGCCTGCTTGGGCATGTCCTTTTCTCACAAAGTCTCTCTGTCGGCGTGTGTGTGTGTGTGTACATTTTATCAACACACTTTATACATGTCTCTATCGGAGTGGGTGGGCAACGGGCTGTCGGTGGGTGTATGGCGAAGGCTGAAGGCTACTAAGTGCGCATGCAGTCAGCTTTACCCATACAAGTGCATTCCCTTTTGCCTAACTTTGTGTGCTGCCAAGCATATGTGTGGGTAAAGGACAGCTTACTGTGGGACTGGCACTGCCATGGGGTTGGGGTGATGATGGGAGGCAGCAGGGCAGGTACAATGTCTCGGGTTCGCACAATTTACGCGCACACACATCCAAACACATGCATGGGGCATTGATTATAATTTTAAATTATACATGCATACATATCTACACATGTATGTATATCTACATATGGTACATACATATATGTATGTATATATATCCCAACATAACTGTACATGTCTCATACAGACATACATATGTATTTCTAACATGTAGAACCGTATAAAATATTTAGCTTTTGTGCAACATTTGGGGACATATTAAATTAGTGTTGGCTAACGTTTTTTTCACATCAGCCATGTGTGTGCTTTAGAGCAGGTGGAGGCATTAGTGTCGCATACCCGCCCCCCCCGTGTTCCAGCCAAATTAGTTGCCTAATGAAAAGGTTGGGGAACAGTGGGAAATTGACACGCATTCAACACCCCTCTTTGTCACCTGCTCATTGCACACACACAAAAAACCTGTTAAGCGGCAGACACAGCTCCACAGGAACAGGAGGAAAGAGTGAAAGTGTGAAAATTGTTGCCCTCACACACCCTGCCCCGCCCCCAAAGCACGCCCTTTGCCACACACAGGCTACGCAGTCGGGCAACCCTCGAAAAAGAATCAAAAAATCATGGCAGCAACAGCCAAAACACGAACCGTTATTGTTGTTGCTCTTTGTTGCTGTTGCTGTTCCTGCTCCTGCTCCCTCCTCAGTCACAGCACGCACAAGCAACACCCACAACAGAAACAGAAGCAACAACAACAGCAAAAAAGGGAAAACAATTCACACTTGTCTCAATACAAACATGCCAACAAAAGCAACAACACACCACAGACAACAACCGCAATCCCGCCACACTAACACACACACACACACCCAAACATGGCAATGGCTACGGCTACGGCTACGTCACGCACAAACACAAAAACAAAAACAATGTCTGCCAATAAGTTTGCAAAAAAGGAAAAAAAAAAAAGGAAAAAATGAAACGTTACGAAAACAGAAACAGAAGCGAAGGCAAGAACAAAATACCGCAACACATTGCCATTTTCGTTCTGTTTTTATTCCTCTTCGTGCTTTTTTTTGTGTCGTTTTTCTTCTTTTCTGTTTGTTTGACTGCGAAACAGTCAGCAGAGCAGCAACAGTGCTTCACTTGTCAGCACACCACACCTACCCCCCACCCCACCTACCAGTTGTGTGCTTGTTAATGAGACGCCTGCTGCTGCGTCCGTCCTTCTGGCTTCCAGGTGTCGCGCTGTCATCACGGAAAGAGAGTGTTGAGTTGGTTGTCTCTGTGCTGTGTGTCTTACTTACTCTCCCTCTTCCGATGCTCTTCTGCCTGATGGCCTGGCCTGGCCCCTTGGAAATGTAAAGTTTTCGCCTCACACTTTGGTGCTGGTCCTGGTCCTTGGTTTGGACGTCACTCCTTTTTGCTCTATTGATTTTTAACATAATCAAAGCCCAAAACCCAAAATGTATGCACACATACACAAATACAAAGAGAGGCATTCATGCATACATACATACAGACATACAGCATACACATGTACATCCATACATACATATGTACGTATACTTTTCTGTAGAGAAGAATTGAAGCTCAGAGTCAGCATTTCGACAGCGTTGCCATGTGTGTGCTTAGGAGTGTGAGTGAGTGAGAGAGCGAGTGGGTTTAGTTTTGGGGGTGAGTGGGTTGGTGGCGACGCTGCCATCGTGCTGATTATGAGGATGTTGATAAGTTTCAACGAGGACCGACCCGAGGACACCCGAAGACCCCCTAACTAACACACACACACACACACACACACACACAGCCACACCACGCCACAGACCTCCATTAAGCTGCTGCGCCTACTAAAGCTAGACAAACACAGCCACGCACACTGGCGTATGGTAACCCTTTTCTGAGGGAGAGGAGCGGAGGCTTGGCTGGGCTGGGCTGGGCTGGGCTGGGCTGGATTGGGGGTCTTTTGCAAACATCCTTCTTCCTCCAGCCCCTTTCACGGCAGGGGGAGTGTGGGTGGAGCAGGGTCTGTGTGTGTGTGGTGGGGAAATGGCTTCATTGAAAATGTTGTTTGCTTTTCTATTTGGGTTTGCTTTTCTGCCTTTTCCGCTTCCCTTTTCTGGCCCTATTCTATATTTTTACACTATAAAATATACATTGTAAAGGATGGTTTGGGATGGGTGTATGGGTTTGGAATATGCGGGGCTTTTGGTTTGCCATGTTATTCAGGAACTCATTCCCCATTCTCCATACCCCATACCCCTTTTCCACTCCATCCTTTTTCCCTTCAGCAAGTTTTTGGCTTTTGTGTAAAATTTTCGTTTTAAACTTTTGCGTTGTACACGAATTATAAGTTTTGATTAGTAGTGGGTAAAGTTTTTCGGGCCCCATGTGTGTGTCTATAAGTTTTCTAGGGGTGGCAGAGAGGTACGGTTGTACGGTTGTACGGCTGTACGGTTCGGTCGAGTACGTGTATATATGTATGTAGTACATTATGTAACCTCGCAAGTACATATATACACATGTATGTATATGTATTTGCAGCGCAGTCATGGGAATATGCAGAGGAAAAGCCTAAAACTAAGGGAAATCAAGCTGAAAAGGGGTGTGTAGTGGGGTGGGGCACAGAGCAAAAAGGTATTTTTTGGACTAATGGAAAGGGTGGTTCGTGGTTGGATGTGGGGAGACATGTAAAACAGGCTTCTCTAGAGGCATTTTCATAAATAAATCCGTATTCCGATCTTATTTTCAGGAATATGAAATCAAGGATCATCGGCCCTGGCTGTCCCTAAATCAGTGCGGCCTCAACAAGCCCGAACAGATCAAATTCGCTCGATATTTGGGCCAGGGTCTGCCCACGTTTACGCTCTTTTGCATTTATAGCAATTATAAGAATCTGTTTTGCACAAAACGCACAGAAATGTAAGTGTGGATCGATTGCGGAACACGCCCAAAAGCATGCTATAATTATGCCGATTATCCCTACGTTTTTAGCTACACCAAGGATGGCTACAATCTGCCTTATATACTCGACAAAACCAAGCGCTTCCTGGCCAACACAACAGCTGGTAAGTAAACCTACAGCTATAGCTATGTATACATATATACGCGATATACATATGTATATGATATATAAAGTGTAGTGCAAATGCAGCAGAAGGCAGACCACGAAAAACACACACTCACAAAAGTGTTTCTCGGGCAGAGGAAAAATTAATAAAAAGAAAACAGAATGTGCTAAATTTTAAAAATACACTCAAAACTAAAAGTGCTTACATTCTTCTCTCTTCTTTATGATTTCTCTCAATTCTACTTGTAGTTTTCTTTCACATTTGCATTTTCTGCGCTTCTGTTTCTATTTTTATTTCTCGTGCACTTTCCGTTTTCGGTTCCCTCACAAAATCGAAAAAATAAAAATAAAAAATTTTTTTTGAAAAACTGGGGGCGGGCGGGAAACACCTTCAGAATTGGCTGCCTATTTTTGCGAAAAAATTTCAACAACTAGAAAATAATCAATTTCTGTCTGTGCCACTGTGCCACGAAAATCGTACAAGAATCATTTTAATTATTTTTGACTTCAATTTGTTTGTGTTTCCTCTTTCTTCTTCTTTATCCACGCATACGCTTTGAATCACTAGGCGAAAATACCAACAACAATAACAACATCCAAAACAACAACAACAACAACAACAGTAACAAGACCAACACAACAACAACAACATCCACACCGGTAAAACAGACACCACAACAACAACAACAACATCCGCAAGGAGAGCAGGGACCTGCAGGCGACCAACTGCTGGTGGCAGCACCTGCCTCGCCAGCGAAACCCACAGCCGCCTCCACAGCCGCCGCTCTGCCATCTACACCCACGCCGACGCCGTTGGGAGGAGGAGCCACAGCAGGAGCACCACTACCACGCACAATGGCCGCAACATCAACTCCTAGGCCATCAACGCCCACGGGACCAATAGCTGGGCCGCCGCCAACGACTCCACAACATCTCCAACAACAGCAGCAACAGCAGCAGCAGCAGCAACAACAGCAACAACAACAACAACAACAGCATATGTTGCACCAACATTCGCATCCGCATGGCCAGCATCCGCACGGACATCCACATCCGCATCACCTGCAGCCGGGCACACCGACACGTAGTCCAGCGATGACACCGCAACATCCACATGCTCCACATCCGCACCACTATCCGCCGCCGCATCCCCATCCCCATGCCCATGCCCATCCGCATGCCCTGCAACATCCCCATTCGCATCACTTTGCCTATGCCCATCCGCAGCATCCACAGCACCCACAGCATCCTCAACACCCCCAACATCCGCAGCAGCATCATCCGCACTTCTATCCGCACTCGCCGCACCCACACGCAACACATGTCCAGCACATGGCAGCGATGGGCTACAGTCCGGCGCCGCCACCGCAGTCATCGGTTGGGGGTGGTGGTGCAGCAGGCGCAGGATCTGCAGGAGGAGGAGGCGGCGGACCGCCAGTGTCCATGTGAGATTGGGGTCGGCGTGGCGCCAAGGGCAGCGGCGGAGGCGCCACCTGTTGACAATCGTAGGCTGTTGCGGATCCACACTCCTATCCTGTTACTGTTCCCAATCCCCTATCCCTTCTCCTGTCCCTTATCGATTAGAAATTTTAACCGGAAACCTTATATAAGAACATCGCGTCATAATCTTTTACACATTTTTTTTGTTTCGTTTATTTTAGAATAATTTTACAAGCTTTTTGCCAAATTTTATTGAAACTATACAACAAATTTGTATTATGTTTGACGACGAAGAAATTGTTGGACAACGATCGATCATTATACCCCTCAAAAACTATGCAATGTTATTCCTTAAAAAGAGATTATTACTTTTACACAATCACTCGAAACACTCATACACACACAAGAACATATAGGAAATCAAGATAACGCTATTTAATATGATTATATTACTACGATACGATTAATCGTATATATATTTTAGTAAGACAAGAACAATGATAATATATGTATTGTATGTTAAACAAAAGCCAATCCTAACTATACACACCCCCTATAGTATATGTTTATATACTTGCAATGTACCATATAGTATATGTATATGTACATACATACATATGTACTGTATATGGAAATTGTTTGCAAACACACACACACACACAGAAAATATATATATATACATAGCGGAAAGCGATTGAGAACAAAATCGATTGGAAATGTTGTTTCTTCTTGAGATTTATTGCCTGCCATTGGGCGCCTCTGCATTTGCGCTAAGCCATTAATAATGGGACGAAAACGGAACGTATTTCCATTGGAATGCGATTGCTGTGAGGCTCAGCATCTGTATTCGTAACAATGTCCCGTTAATATCCCTTCAAGACGGCCGATCGATCGGACTGCAAAAACAATACTAGAACCAGTGTTGAGCAGTTGAACCGTTGCCCGCAGCCTAACTGTAGCCCCTCCCCCTCTCTCTTGTAGACCTCAAGAACATGGCGGCCGCCAATGACGGATCCCTGGAGTTCGCAGCCGCCAACAGCAGCAGCAGCAGCAGCACCAGCGCCAGCACCAACCTCATAAACAGCAACAGTAACAGCAGCAGCAGCAGCGGCACGGTTAACCTGTCAGCGGCTATGGCTCTTAATACGAACAGCAGTTTTGTTGCCGCGCCGCCGCCGCTGTCGCTGCCGCCCACAATGGATCCCCGTTATGTGTGCGGTGCACCGCCGACGCCGGGCTTGCTGCCACCGCCGGCTCTGGGGCCGCCGCCGCGCTCCCTGGAACAGATGATCATCTACGAGAACTTTGAGGTGCACGAGACGCACCGCATCGAGGACGGGGTGTGCACGCACATCAGCCGGTTGCCGCCCAAGAAACAGGAGCTATTGAAACAGTTCGGTATACAGAGTAGTGGGCAGCAATGTCTGAGCAATTATGAAAAGTACATACTCATCGAGAACTTCATCAAGTTTTGCAATGTGAGCAAAAGTGTATCGGCGCCAGGCCAGCCTCCGCCAGCCTCCACCACCCACCACCACTGCAACAAACAATAAAAACAAAAGAATAACCCAACCACCAGGAGGAGGCACTACTGTAGTCTAGCGGAGCTTTGTTCTTTTCCCGAATTGGCTATAACCCAGAGATTGGCATTACACTTGTGTAGATCAAAATTGCATCATCATTAACTTAGAGAGCATTGAACAAAACTCTTGCCCACACTCCCAAAGCAGATGACTATCCTAACATGTACTCTCTTCTGTTTCCGTTTCTGTTTTTGTTCCGTTTCCGTCTCCCTTTCGATTTGATTTTCGTTCTATCCAGGAATATCAGATATCCGATCATCGACCCTTTTTGGACTTCCACGAGAGCGCTTTATCCAAATGTGAACAACTTAAATTTGTACGATATCTGGGCCAGGGGCTATCCAATCTGACGCTAAACAAGATCTATGTGGCATTCAAGGATCTGCTAGGCAACGGCAGGCCCGAAAAGTGAGTTCGCCACTTCTCTTGGATCTAAAATATAAGGAGTGGAGTCCCATTTTATTATGACCTAACTCTTTCAGAGCTGCTCTGGAGAGCTATAATTTGGATATCCTATTAAAGAAGAAGCGCAAGAATCTCTACAACCGCATGCATTCGGCTGGTAAGCATTAAGGAAGGGAATGCCGATCCTTTACATTTACGTTTACGTTTACAGCTCCCAGCATTGATCTAACCGCCTACGATACGTCCCAAGCACAGCCACAACCACAGCCACATGCACATCCGCATCCGCATCCACATCCACATCACTCTGCCCTGAGCACGCCACGCCCGCATCATGCCTTTGCCGCCCTAAATGTAGCGACACAGCGCAGTGATGTTTGCAACGAATTGACGCCCGCCGGCTTGCAGTACAGTTACGCCGGAAACGGAAGTGGAACCCCGGCCGGAAACGGACCACGGTAAAGTCGGGCCCAATACGACAGCAACTAAATCATCAAAAACATATACATACATAAACAAATACTTCTTCCTGGAACTGGACCAGTAACTGTTGTGTCTTCGAAACGAACAAGAAAAAAAATCAAATAACAAAAACAGAGAAATCATTGAGAACTAAGTGCTAAATTTAACAGAAAATTATAAAATTAACCAAGGAAATTAAGTATCAGAGACACTAGTAAAATTAGACTAAATGTTAAAAAAAAAAGGAAAAACAAAAACTTAAATCGAATGAAATTCAATTAAGCCAATCCCCAAAACTACACCAACTGGCAAAATGGAATACTAAATAAATATTAAGATTTAAGATTATTTATACTCAAAGTAACAACTAAACGACATACTTACGAGAGTATACAAAAGATATACACATATTATATACATACATATATAGTATGTATATAGATATACATAAACACATATATTTCTGTAGTTGCCATAGCGCTTCTGGGTGCAGCCAAATTCTGTCCAGAACAGAACAGAAGAGAACTATACCCGAATCGGTACAATATATATATATAATATAAATTTTAGCTTCGGTTTCCAGCATCTCATCCCTAGGAACCCTGCCCCAGCATCGAGTATACAGCATACAGCATACAGCATACAGCATCCAGCATCCTGTCTAGCAGTGCAGTCATGTATGTAGTGTAAGGTTTAAAGCCTAGTCTCTAAGTGCAAAAATATCAAACAATATTATGAAGAGAAAAACTAAATCAAAGACCGACCTCCTCCCAAAATGAAAGTTCCCTAAATACGACGCAAACTACGAGTAACAAGTAGATAAAACCATAGCTGGTAAGAGACAAATTTTTTTAGAGTAGACTACGACCGAACGGAAGCACAGATGATTAACTAAATATTCCTATATACATACAATATACATATACATACATATATATACAACAAGCAGCATCAAAATTTCAAAATGGGAAACGAAACGCAAAAATCAAATGCAAAATACAACCAAAAAAAAAAAAAAAACAAAATAGAAATTGTAAAAAATATATATACAAAACGTAAAATACCAAACCAAATATATTCTATACGAGAAAAGGCATATACAATTGTTTCCATTCATTTACTTTACCAAAATTGTGTTTATTTATGCGATTTATTTAAATTTTTCACTATATATTTAGCTTAACCCTGGAACGGGCTGTAGTATGTACTGTACTGTATTGTACGATTACTAGCAGATAGAGAGAGAGCACAGGGTGCACAGGAGCATGGGGCGTTTATGAAAATTAAAGTACAGTCCAAAGCAGTTCAAGACCCTAACTACTAACCAGCAATAGATGTAAGTGTATGTAAGTGCTCTCCTATGTTGCTTTCATTCTTTCTTAATTGTTTATAAGTTTGTGTTTTGTGTTTTATTGAAATCGCAGCAATTTTGAATTGCAGTTAACTGGCTGTTCTTTTCGGTTCTGTCTAATGTCCTATCCAGAGAGATAAGTTATAGTATTTTTGTTAAATGCTTTTAGTTGGACTCCTTTTTGCGTTGCGCCTGTTCGCGTTCCAGCGCGCGCTGCTTGGCCTTCTCGTAGATGGGCATCAGCTGGCCGGTCTCGCCCAGCATTTTCAGCAGCTCCACGATGAAGGGCAAGTAGTTATGTTTGCGACGCACGTTCTCCACCTTGTAGCGCTTTTTCTTCTGGACCTCGTACTGGATGTAGGAGCGCAAGCTGCTAATTTCAGTCTGACGATCTTCCTCTGTATCCATGGCATCGGGAGCCGGATTGAGCAGCTTGTCTATCTGCTTCTCGTAGATGCGCTGACGGTCCGAGATCAGGGCCATCAGGTTAAAGTGGATCTCACCGTCGCTGTAGCGTTGCATGCGCTTCTCAATGATTGGTCGCACCACATCAATCCAGTTTTGATCCGGCTTGATCTCACCAAGATCGATGGGTCCCTCGCGGAGGCCATCAAGCTCATACAAACGTCCTTTAATAGGGATATATCCCACAAAGTGGTAGAGATCCTCGTCCTTGCTCTGGTTCTTCATGTCCAGCTCGAAGAGAGTCTGCCGGGCGAAGGAGTTGTGCACTGTGCGTATCTGGGAGGCATTGCTCAACGTCAGGCCCTTGTTGTAGGGATCGAAGCACTGGCAAAATTCCTTGAAGTTGGCCAGCGTCTCGCCCAGTTTGATGTCCTCGTGTTCCAGGTTCATCAGCAAACTGAGAATGGCCTGCGTGGCGCATGCATTGTTGATCACTTGCTTGGCAAAGAATATATCTTCCTTGTCCAGCACCACCTTGCCAGCGGGTTCGTCCTCCTGCACCCATTTGAAGAGAAATATCAATCCGTGTATAGGCTCCAGGTTCTTGAACGATTCACTGTCCAGGCTCCATATTTCCTCCACTTGAGCGCCATCGCAACCTGGCAATCGGAGAAATTTGCAAACATTACTGGATTGGAGCTGCCGGCGCGTCGGTATGCATCCAAGGAGCGGCGTCCCGGAAAGCGCGGCCAATTGAAAAACTTACCAAATTCGCGAATCAGCTCCGTGAACACGCCCGGATCGCTCTCAATGAGACACCAGTTGCCAGCACCTTCGCTCATGTCTGCTTTTCTACTTATTTACTTGTCTTTATTTGACAATTTAACCACACAAATTTCTACTGTTGCAATTTTTGTCAACTCACAGAATTCCCAAGGGGTTGCCAGACCAGGAAGTGCACGAAATTAGAGGTGGGCCGTGAACATCGATGTTTGTTAGGCCACAATCGATATTTCGATCTCCGTTTCAAAGAGGATGGCGTGTGGATTTCAAAAACAGCTTTTGAATAGAAGCTCGTCCAGAACTTCACGAGAAAGTCCACTTTCTTCCTTACCTTTTTTTCCCTTACATTTAAGAATCTGGCAATTTTTTTCATCGTCCCTTTTTCGACAGAGTGGCAGCACCGTTGCTTGTCCGCCATGACACAAAGCAAAAGCGGTGAAAGAAGAAGAAGCAGCGAAACGAAAAAAATATGTGCAAGCAAATCTCACGAAAGAAAATGAAATTTACTGCACTTGCAGCTTGTGAAATGTAAACGAATAATGTGTATTCGAGAGACGAGACAATAAAACGTATTTTAGTGCAATTTTTATATGTCCCACAACCAACTGAATGCGTGAAAAGATGAAGCGAAAATACGATATCAATTGCGTGCTGCAGCAGAAGCACCAACAAAATCTGTGTTTGTTGTAGCTATACATGTATATATATATGTACAAATATATACATAATAAAAAAGAGAGTCCGGCGGAAAATTGGCAATTGCGTTTATGCAAATGAGAAACTACAGAGCGCCCCACAAATAAGTTCCGACCCGCGTACATAAATTAATTCAAAGCGAGTCCCGCGCGCCACACACAAAAAGTGTGAAGGAGGTGAGAGAAAGAGGCGCGAAAAATTCGCAACAAAATGGTTGTCTCAAAAGACAACAAGCGTCGCCGCAAGGAGACTGATACTCCGCCACCAGCTGCCGCGGCTGCGGCTGCGGCAGCGGCATCCGCTGCTGCTGCTGTGGAGTCATCACCCGAAATGCCCAAGAGGTGAGTGTGTCTCGTCTCCTATCTCTATCAGGTGCTGCTGCTGCCACAGCACTCTATTGTTGTTGCAAATTGAGTTTGATCATAAATACATCTGTGTGTATTTACGTTAGTGTACACTGTCCGTGTGTGCGTGCGCGCGTGTGTGTGTGTGCGTGTGTAATCCAATAGAGATGACGTCGCAGGGCCCCTGGAAATGGTGTGAGCTTGTGTGCGGGTGCCACTGCCATTGCGGGTGTGCGAGGAGTGGGAGGAGAGTAGTATGAGGCGTAGATGGGGCATGGGGTTGGGGCTGGTGATGGAAGGGGGCACTGGACTCCGCAGTTGTATAAGTAAAATCGTCAACATCGTGTCGTGGCGTTGTTGTTGTTTGCTGCCGTCTAGCTATTGCTGAAGGGGTGTTTCGCATCGCTCTGACTGGCTCTGGTATGGGGAGCAGGCAGTCAGGCAGTCATTCAGTCAGTCAGTCAGTCTCCCCCATGCAGGTGGATTGGGACAGTTTATAGTCGCTAACTGGAACAGTAGCTACACAATTTAAATGTAGGGAATGTATCTATTTTTACGTGGTGGAAAATTGATTTATTGAACAGCAGCTTAGATATAAATTGGGATTAATGCGACAGTAAATTCCGTGTTCCGTGTGGCCTGTGACCACTGTACCTGCGTGTGTATCTGTGCAGGTCACTGCATTGTTTCTTTGATTTTGGGCCTGAAATTAATATTTACCTTCGTAATTGTATATCAAATTGCATTTGTGCCCAATTAAAAGTCACTCACACCATTTCCATTTTCCAATTTCTCCTCTCTCTTTCTCTTTTGTTCTTTCTCTGTCTCTGTCTCTATCTCTGTCTCTTTCTTTTTCTGTTGCAGAACCAAGGTGCAGGCCCAGCGGAAGTTCGCCCAGGGCCAGAGTGCGCCCAGCAGCTCGTCGAGTGGCATGGCATACAGCAGCGTCGTGGCAGCAGCGGCTGGAGCAGGAGCAGGAGGCACTGGTCCGAGCACTTCGGGTGCAGAGAGCTCGCAGCCGCCCATCGAGATACTGCCCAACAAGTGTCCCAAGCCGCAGGATTTCCTCACGTTTCTATGCTTTCGCGGCACACCCGCTTTGCCCGCTCATCTCGACTATCTGAATCAGGGTAAATCCAAGGATTCAAAAGAATCCGAGGCAGCATTGCCGGGCAACAACAACAACAACAACAATAACAGCAGCAAGAAGGCCCAGAACAGTCGAGCGGTCAACAACAAGAAGAAACGCGGCAGGCCGGCCAAGGGCGGAGCGGCAGCAACGAAGAAGAGAGAGGCGGAGGTTGAGCCGGAGCCACGGTCACAGCAGCCAGCAGGGGCTGATAAGTCATCAACAGCAGCAGCAGCATCGGCATCAGCAGCATCAGCAACAGCAACAGACAAAGCAGCAAGTGATAAACCCAATCTCATACCAGCAACAGGGGCTCCAACGACAGCGACAGCGACAGCGACGACTCCAATGCTTCCCGGAGCTGTGCGAAAGCGAGCCGAAGTTGTTACCGATGGCAATCGACGTGGCGGCAGGGGCAGAGCAGCACCTGAGAACGCCACCAAAACCAACAGCAACAGCCTGGGTGCCGCCACATCATCAGCCACTGCAGCAGACACCAACAAGCGTCGTTCCAACCGTTCCAGCACCAAGGAGAGCAAGGCCATAATCGATGATCGGGCGGAGGAGGACAAGCAGCATGAGGACGAGGAGGATGACGATGATGAATACTTTTCAGCCCATGATGCCACCTCCCGTAACGGGGATGAGGCCTCAAAGGAGGGCCCAGCGAAAGCCGAGCCAGCCAAAAGGGGGCGACCCGCAGCAGCAGCATCGGCCTCAGCCTCAGGAAAGAAACCATCGTCGGAACCAGCATCCGTAGCCGTTGCGGAGATTCCGCCCAAGGAAAAAGGACCCGCGAAGCGGTTAAGGCAACGGGAATCACCCATATTCATACCCTCGCCCGAGTCCTCGGGCCGGATGACGCGACAGCGGGCTTTTTTCGAGCCAGTCAAGGTGCCACCCCAGCAAGAGGAGCCAGAAAAGGCGAAAGAAGACTCCAAGAAGAAGAAGGAGAAGGATCCAGAGGAACCAAAGGGAGAGCAGCCACAGCCAGAGCCGGAACAGGAGCCGGCCAAGCAGCTCAAAGAAACAAAGGAGAAGACAAATTCTAGTATTTATGCCAAAGAAGCCAAGCAGCAGCAGAAGCAGCAACAGCAGCAGCTGGAGAACGGCGACAGCCAGCACGGCTCCGGCAGCAAGGGTAAAAAGAGTTTGAACGTCTTCGACTTCAGTTCCGACGATGAGCAGCCGCTGGCCAAGTCCATTAAGCTGAAGAAGGGCGCCAAGGGGGCCAGTCCCAAGAAGGGTAATGCCGCGGCGCCTCCACCAGCGGCCAGGAGTCGCAAAGCGGCCACCAAGAAGCAGGAAAAAGAGAAGGAAAAAGAAGAGGAAAAGGAAAAGGAGAAAGAAGTTGCGGTGGCAGCAACACTCGCAGCGACAGCAGCGGAGTCAAACAAACGCGGGGCGGCCAAGGCGGGAAAGAAAAAAGCTGAGGACCCACCGGCCGATGAGCAGGACCTGGCGCCCCCCTGCCCAAAGAAAGCCACGACGAATGCCCGTCCAGGACGAAAGACTGCCAAGAGCAAAGCCACAGCGGAAGAAGCAGCCGCTGTTGAGGTGGAACCCCAGCCACAGCGCTCGCAGCGGCCCTCGAGGAAGACCAAGGAGGCGGCGGCCATCTACATGGGAATCATGGGCCACAAGCTGCAGATGGCCGATGACGATGATGATGATCTCTCGCTGAGCAGCTACCCGGACATACCCAACGCCAAGGAGATGGAGAAGATGGAGAAGGAGATCAAAAAGAATGCGGCGGGAAAGTTGAACGTGCCCGAGGCAACGACGGTGCCAACGGCAGGTAAACAATCGCGAAAGCCGTCGCCCAAGCCACCTCCAAAGGGGGGAGCAGCTCCAACAGCAGCTGCGACAGAAGTACCCCGAGCAGATCCGCCCTCCCCACCCGAGTCGGAGGAAGAGAAGCCACCGCCTCCGGCAAGACGCGGACGACCCCCAAAGCAGGGAAAGGCAGCTACTGCTGCTGGTGCTTCTGCGCCCCTCGCCAAACCCCCCATCGAGGGAATGCTCGTAAAAAAGGGCTCGCTGACAAAGATGAGCGAACAGGCAAAGCCCAAAGCCAAGTCCGAACAGTCAAAAGTCGACTCCGACGAGGAGGAAGACTTTCTAATCAACGAGGAGCTGAACGAAACGAAACGCAATCTGGAGAAGAGTTTCAGCGACTCGGATGACGAGCCACTGGCCATCAAAGTGCCGTGTGTGCCCAAAGGCGCCAGCCAGGAGAAGGATAGTCCATTGCCAGTGGCCGGCAAGCTATCAACCACCACACCCCACCGGCCATCGGCAAAGCTCCAGTCTGCTGTCGCTCCATCCGCCACCACAGCGACAACTTCGGCGGCGGTTCTTCCATCAGTGGTCGTCCAATCGATGCAGCTGCAGATCCAGGCTCCCATCATTCCCCCCTTGACCACACAGCAGCTTTCGTTGCTGCCGCTGGCCACCAAGCCAACGACAACGCAAGTGGCAACGACAACGCCAGTGGCGACGGCAACGCCAGTGGCGACGGCAACGCCAGTGGTGACGCCAGCGCTGACAACACTGCCCCTGCCCAGTGGCATCCAAGTGGCCGCATCCAATTGCATCTCCATTCCCCCTCTGAACTATACCCCGCTAAAGGTCATGGAGAAGAAGTCGCCGGTGCCGACATCAAAGATTCTCAATGTACCCGCCACCTATGCCCTGCCCGGAGGCAGTGCGGCCGCCGCAGTGGCGGTGGGCTTCCAAAAGACATCGTCGTATCTGCCGCAGGCATCGCCGCATTACCATTCCGGCTATGTTCGTCCCCCACCGACGCCCTCGCATCCGTTTGGCTCTGGGGGAGGCGGAGTGGGAGGAGGAGGAGGAGGACCGTCAGGAAGCAAGACACCTGCCCAGGGATCGCCACTGAAATACCAGACACCGCCAACAACCTATCCCCCACCCATTGAGGCCTACCAGTGCCCCAAGATCAATCCAAACTTCCTCACGCCCAAATACGAGCGTAGTCCACTGCCACCACGATCCTCGGCCTCGAGCACCTTTCCCACACCCTCGCCTGTGAAGTTTCTGCCGACGCCAACGTCCACGACGGTGGGCACGGGCACCGGCACAGGCACAGGCACGGGCACGGGTACCGCCTCCTCGTCGGCCACCAAAAGCCCCCTGGCACCGCCAACGACGCCTGCCACGCCGCCAGTCGTTGCATCCACCAGCCAGCCAGCAACAGTGGTGTTGCAGACGTCCAGCCTCAGTTCGAGCACAGCAACAGCCCCGCCGCCCAACCCGGCACCGCCGCCAGTGGCCTCCACGTCCGCGGCAGCTGCACAGCAAGTCAACGCAGCAGGAGTAGGCGCCCCAACGTCCACGCCAACGCCACCGCCTGCCCACAGTAACAGCAATGCAGGAGGCGCCGGCGGCAGTGGCGATCCCCTGAAAGACGAGATAAGCAACTTTCTGGCGCAGGCTACGCTGATGCCCAGCAAGGAGGAGTCTGGGAAGATATTCGGAATAGCCAGCGTCAGCCTGGCCCAGAGTTCCGGCCCCGACAACACCAAGTGTACGCTGGGCAAGTGCGGATCGATCCACAAGCCTGTGCTGGGCCCGGTGGTGCCCACCGAGGGATACTTTGGGGACCAGCTGACCAGCAAGGAGCGGCGAAAGGCCAAGGTGAATATGACGCACGAGCAGATCCAGAAGTGGCTGATGGAGTGCTCCTCCAATCCGGATGAGATACTCCAGGACGATCTGGACGATGATTTCGATGACAATATGCGGGTGCAGCAGTCCACCACCCCGCCGCCCACGCGGGACGAGAAGGAGCTGAGCGCCAGCTTCTCATCCTCGTCGAAGAACACCCGCGGGGGAGATCTCGGCAAGAGCGAGAGCGCCTGGTCGGCCAAGGGGCCGTCGTTGAAGGCCACACCCGTTGTGGTGACGCCCTCCAGTCGCAAGGAGCAGACGCAGGCGCAGGCCGACTGTGATGTCCTGGACGGCGAGAAATCATCGACGCCCGTGAATCTCACACAGAAATCGGAGCCAGCGGCGGACAAGACAGCGCCCGCTGACAAGAAATCAGTGGTCGAGCGAAAGGCCAAGGAATCTGTCCGAACCAGGGCTGCTCCTCAGGCGCGCAGTGCGGCTACCACGCCTTCCGCTCCAACGCCCACCCCTGTCACGCCCACCAAGAGCACGCCACCAACACCGCCGCCGCCTGCTAGCAGTCAGCAGAAAGGGAACAAGGGGAAAAAGAATGCCACAGCAGCAGCAGCAACAGCAGCAGCAGCAGTGTCTCCGCCACCACCACCGCCACCCACTCCGCCCACGCCCAAGCGGACGCCAGTGTACAACCAGAAGGCGAACAAGGCGACGACCCAGCAACAGGCAGAGACGAAGCAGCCACCACCTGCGGCAGCACCGAGTGCTTCAGCGAAGCGAGGAAGCGAATCTGTCTATGCCTTCGGCAAGGAAGAGGAGACCCCTGCGGGGGCCAAACCAGGCAATCGCCGCACTCGGGTGGAGCCCACCCCGACGCCACCGCCAGCGGCTGCAGCACCAGTGCCGAATGCGTTGAGTGAGCGGTCGCCGACCAAGAAGCGGGCGGCAGCCGCTGCAGCGGCCACTGCCGTCCAACTGACGCTCAGTCCCACCGAAAACTGCAAGATTGAGGGATCGAAACCCAAGACGGGACCGGGAAGGGCAGCCAAGAAGCAACAGCAGCAGGTGGCCCCTCCTCCGCCAACAGCAGCAATGGAGCCGAGCGGCGACTCGGATCCCGAGGGAGCCACTTTCTACATACCCCTGCAGGGAGCGGGTGTCGGTGGCAGCGGCGACGGCGGCATCCAGGGAGTGGCCGTCAAGCTGGGACGCGAGGGCCCCGACGGACCCAACCAGAAGGTGGTGATGCAGGCCACGCTGGTGACCAAGGCCCAGATGGACACCAATTCGAAGCCGCTGCCCGAGTCCCTGAACACGAACGAGCTCGTAAAGACGCTCTTCCATGCGGCATCCAACAATGATGCCGCCTCCACAACCAGCCTGAAGAGCCTGCCCAAGGCCAGCACCTCAGCGGCATCTGGAACGGGAGCGGGAGCCGCCGGCGCAGGCACAGGCACAGGCGCAGGCGGTGCCTCGTCCAGTCTGGTGCGTGTCAATTCCAATTCGTCGCTCTTCTCGGGCTCCGCAAAGTCGCGGACAGCGGCCCAGACCAGCTCAACAGCGGCGGCCGTGGCCAAAAAGTACAAGGATGACACGCCAATCAAGATGGCCAATAATACGGCCTTCCCTCGGCACGACGATCCCACCCAAATGGTGGAGGCACCCATTTTCCGTCCGACGGAGAAGGAGTTTGCCGATCCCATCGAGTTCATTGAGCGAATCACACCGATTGCGGCCAGGTTTGGGATCTGTAAGATCATTCCACCAGCTAGCTTCAAGCCAGAGTGTCGGATATCGGACGAGATGCGGTTCACGGCGTACAATCAGTACGTGCACAAGATGCTGCATCGGTGGGGGCCCAGTGCCAAGGAGTTGAGTGCCATCAAGAAGTACCTGGCCACCCAGAGCATTACGATGAATCATCCGCCTTGGATTGGAGGCATGGAGGTGGATCTGCCGCGGCTCTATCACACCGTCCAGGAACTGGGCGGCCTCAAGGAGGTCATCGAGAAGAAGAAGTGGTCGCGTGTGGCCGAGGAAATGTGCATACCGAAGCTGGCCCAGGACCGGGTGACCAAGCTGGATGACATCTACTGCAAGTACCTGTTGCCCTACGACACCCTGTCGCCGGCCGAGCGCCAGAAGCTCTTCGACGAGGTCGAGGCGGACTGGGCCAAGCGGGAGGCCAGAGCCAGACGGAATGCGGATCGGTTTGTCAACACGGAGAGCGTCTCGAACGAGGAGGATGACCTGAGCAGCGACGAGGATGAGGAGTCGGAGGAGGAGATCGATGGCGTGTCCATGGAGTGCATTGTCAAGGGCAGGAGCATGCCCCTCAGCCAGTTCTACCGCATCGCGAGGAACACGATGGCTCTGTGGTTCAAGAGCACCGATCCCACCGTCAACGAGGTGGAGGCCGAGTTCTGGCGCCATGTCGCCGTCCGCGACAGTCATGTGTGTGTCCATTCGGGGTCCATCGACAGCTCTGGCTGGGGCTATGGCTTCCCCAGTCCCGGTCCCAAGGGCAAGGGCTCCAACTATGCTCGCCATCCGTGGAACCTCAAGGTTCTCACCAACAATGCTGGCTCAGTGCTGCGTTCGTTGGGACCCGTGATGGGCGTCACCGTGCCCACCCTCCACGTGGGCATGCTCTTCTCGGCGTGCTGCTGGTACCGGGATCCGCATGGTCTGTCCTGGATTGAATACCTCCACACAGGTGCCTCCAAGCTGTGGTACGGCATACCCGACGATCAGAGCGCCAATTTCAGATCCGCACTCACTTCGCTGATCCCCACGCACTGCCAGAACAAGACCATTTGGCTGCCCTGCGATACGGTGATGGTGCCCCCGCACATGCTGACGGACCGGGGGGTGTCTCTGTGCCGCATCGAGCAGAAGCCTGGCGAGTTTATTGTGGTCTTTCCCCGGGCCTACACCTCCAGCCTGGCCACCGGCTATGTGGTCTCGGAGAGTGTCTATTTCGCCACCATGTCGTGGCTGGATTTGGCCAAAGATGATTTCAGGGTAAGTCTATCCACATTCCATTTTGCAGTCGGGAGAATCAAGGCTAATCAATTTGAAATGTTTCAGGACATCCATGAGAGCTGCGAGCCAGCCATGTTCTCGCTGGAACAGCTGCTGTTCGCCCTGGGCTATGACCAGCGCGTCAACCCCGATACCCTCCATCAAATGCTGCCCATGCTGAACGAGGTCTGCGAGAAGGAATCTGCAGCACGAGAACAGCTTAGAGTGAGTCTTCCCTTCCACGATCCTTGGGTTTCATTCAGTATAAACTATAAATTATAATTGTGTGTATTTCAGGCCGCTGGCGTGACATCCACCGAAAAAGTGCAGGCCGAAAAGGGCCAAAAGGCCAAGAAGCAACAACAGCCACCGCACAAGTCCATCGAAAGTGAATGCGATCTCTGTCGTGCCAATCTGTACATATCCATGGTGCGCACCGACGACGGCAACGTCTACTGTTTGCAGCACGCCCTAAAGAACCTCAACAATGGCAACATCCAGGCGAAGCAATGCAAGCTGATTTACGCATACAACGTGGACGACATACAGCAGTTGATACGCCAGCTGCAGGAGAAGATACACCACAAGGCGGCCGTAAAGAAAAAGTAGCACCGTCGGCGTCGTTACTAATCTGGCGGCGCTACCCCACAGATATCCATACGGCAAAGAAAAAGACGCTGTGTTGTACATAGATTATAAAGAAAAATAATTGTATACGCATGTGATTCGCCCAAAGCCCAGGCCCAGGAGTACACATTGGAAATGAATGCGAAGCGCATCGAAACACGGATATACATATACGATTTATCTCCCAGTTAACACACTAACTGACACTATTACTAACTGTAAAATAAGAGAGTATAGGATCGAAGTGGATCGGATTGGATGATCCCATTTACATTTCAATGTGTGGCAATGCTTTCAATTTATCTAGTTTATACAGAAATTTGTGAGGATATACGTATAAGAAGTTTGCAATGAATTTTTTTTTGTTTTCCATTTTAAATTGTAGTTTTTTGTTATGCACTGTACTACCACTGTCCCTCCTATCCCTACCCCAACCCCTACCCTTAACCCGAGAAATGTTATTAACCGCTGCGTCCTCTCCCCTTCCCATCCTTTGTGTTATTGTATATATTTAGTAGAGACAGCCCCTAGTGTATATGTATATGTATGGATTAAGTCGGGAGACCACTCCCTCAAAGAATGGATAATGCTAACATGTTGCAATTTATACTACCTTTTATACGGTTAAGCTAACGTTAATTACCATAGCATCCAGACACAGCCCCCGCATAGAGAGAGACACAGAGAGAGAGAGAGAGAGAGAGAGAGCAGCCGTAGCAATAGCGCAAAATGGACATCCCGGCACTCGCAATAAAAAGTAATACAAAAACTAACGAAAGCTAAAGTTACTATCACGGAAACATTTAACTAAAGACAAAAGCCTAGCCACACTACAGGACTACAGGACACCCCATATTACACACAGAAAGAGTACTTTTCATTCAACCAAAAAACAAGGAGCGAAGCGGCAATTTTCTGAATGAAAAAAGAGAAAAACCTTCATTAGATGTTCAATGTATTTATATAGTAGTAATAATACAATATTTAAGTAACAAGTGCAACAATAAATCTTAACGCGATATATCAGAGCTGCACTGCACTGTCTATAAGTTATGGGCTACATTACACACACGTTTCTCTTCACTTCACATCACTTCTCTCTCTTTGGAGGGGATGGGGCACACTTCTACACTTCTAGTCTAATCTGCTTACTTTTTCTGCTCTAATTTGTTGGCTATACCTTGGGTTTCTTAAGGGCTGGCAGGCAGTCTGAGCTGCTCACCGCCTGGCGTTTGACGGCAACACTGGGCGTGTTGGCCACCACATCCTCCAGCTGACGCTTCAGCTCCGACACCTGGGTGGTCAGTTCTGTTATGCAGCCCGTCGCCTCATGTAGGCGGCGATCCTGTGTCTTGCGGGCAGCCTCTAGACTGCGCACCTTCGAAGCGAGCAGCCTTTGCTGCTGGTATTGCCGCTGCAGCATTATGTTGAGGCGTCCGCGAGTGGAAGTGGCTTGGTTGCCGGCACTGAGTGGAGCCAGCTGCACTATGGCCTGCTGGACAATGGCATGATCCACGGGCTGGCATTCCCGTTTGACGCCACTAAAGCTGATATCCCCCAGGGGGCCACAGACTAGCAGTCGTGTACCCGAGGACTCGGCCAGCTGCTTACGGTGCTCTTGCTTGAAATCAGTGGCAATCTTTTCATCAAAGTGCTCAATGGCCATGGAGGAGATGTCACGTAGCTCCTGCAGCACTTCGTGCGGACGCAATGGTTTTGATGTTGTCAGCAGCAGTCTCAGAATCTCGCCAATCTCGTCCAGGACACGGCCTGGTATGAAGCAGCACATATTGAGGTCAATAAACTTCGAATAGGTCATCGTCAGCATGGATATGCGCGTCTCAATGGATGTGAGTATGTCCGAGTGCCGCGACAGGGGATGATTCCTGCAAGCAGTACGAAGATGCATTCACAAAGATCTCGGTGCTGCTCCTATCTAGACTTACCTGCGTTCCGATTCGCGACGCGGCAGCATAGACTTGATACGCTTGAAAATCTTGGCATGTTCCATGATAATCTTGTTGAATCCCAGGTTCAGCACTTGCTGGCCCGTAAAATTGAAGTGAGTGCACACCTGGCAGGAGGAGAGTTTCGTGGAACCATCCAGAGTTAGTCACAGGTCGGATTTTATGCACTTCTCATACAACTGCTTACCTCGCGCTTTTTGGCAACTTCGTCATACGGCAGATACTCGAATATGTCCATCAGCACTGTCTGCGGTAAGTCAAGTAAATTCATGTTGAATTTCTAATTTCCCCTATTTTGTTCCTCAGAACTGAGGAAGTTGTTTGCAAACACAAAAAAGTCTGGAACTATATTTTTCTGTCTCAGTCTCACATCCAGTGTGACCGCGTACTTATCAATAAAATATACCGTCCGACCCTCAGAAATATACCGAAACATACAGTCCTACTTTAGAAATATACCGTAAATATACTGACGAATTATTTGTATTCATAATTCCAACATATTCCTCGACTTTCTGTTCGGTTGAATATTACTGGTTAGCTAGGACATTCAGGTCTAAACTAATAGTTTTATCTTATTATTAAATTAATTTGCTACAAGACCGGTTCAATTTATGTTTTCATCTATATTGTATTTCCTAAAAAAAAAGGTTAAAGAAAAACCGGTCAACAATTTCCACTAAATTAATTTCTATACATGGTAACTACACGCTAACTACACTGTTGCTACATAATTACTACATTTATATGTAATTACCAAGGGCGACACCTGAAGGGGAAATGTGTACGTTTCAAAAATATTTTGCCCGTTTTTTTCATATAAGCCCCATGGAAGCGACAGTGGGAATCGATATTTTTATACTATAAGTATCAAACGATAGTAAAATATGAAATATTTGAATTATTAACTTTATTATTATTAAATATATATATTATATAAGTACAATTGGTAAAATTGTACGAAATCAGTCCCTAGGACCTTTTTGCTGTCGCACTCTCAAATAAATGTCAACTGTGAGCACCATTAAATTACCATCGCTGAGAGGAACCACACCACTCAATTTTGAACTAGTTCAACAAGTCGAACATAACTAACGGGTTTAAAAAGAAAACAAATTTATATTAAAGAAAATTATTATGTTTTAATATCTGGAGAGCAAGCAAACTTTAGTCGAGATTTCTCGCACATGCTTCCTAATCACCAGTATCTGCTTAATGCAGGAACATTGCTGCAACCAATAAACGACCATCCTCGAGATGATTAAAAACAAAAAAAAAAGGTTTTATTTACAAAACGGAAAATGTGCATCGCGATGAAATGAGAGTGAAGAGTATATTAGGCTTGAATCAGAAACTTTCCAGCATCATGGTCCAGATGTTCGAGTTCAGGCTTCTTTTTCGGAAAGTAGGGATTATGCTCCGGATCGGCATTCAAGCTGAAAATGATTTAATGTTTACAATAACCCAACATCAGGTATGTACGAAAACTTACTGATATAGACTGATGGCCTCCTCGCACTTGACATTGTACCACCAATCGCAGGCAAACTCCTTCTGGTTGAAGATAGTGCCATTTGTGCACAGAAACTTGGCACCCTGGTGTCCTTCGCGTCCATCGTGGCACACGTGGTAGGCCTGGCAGCCAGTCTCCACATTCGCATACATTCCCGGAACGGCGGGGACATTATGACAGCTGAATTGGGTGTGGGGCACCTCGTGATATATAGGATAATCTACGCCAGCCACTCCCGGTATCTTGTTCAGATCTTGTTTCTCCTCATGCCGCGGATGTTCCGGTTGAGGGGGATTAAACAGATATCCGAATTTCTGTAAACATATCAAATGTGAAGATTGCATAAGAAAGTTCGTGCCCCAACCGGTTTCACAGCCGCCCCACAGCCTCCTAGCAGCCTCCTCTCTGTCTCAAACGATCAAACGTGTGTGAGTGGAGTGCCACAATTGCATGTTATGTTACAATTTTTGGGTCAAAAGTGAACGGAGTACAGAGCCCAGCGCCAACATAGTCCAAAAGCTTTGTCAATTGGGTGGCACACGCTCCTCTTAATTGATTCCTCAGCATAATTGCACTTGAGCCCGTCCCCCTAGTCACGCGGATGATCCTCACCTGCACTTCAATGGCCACAGCGGCTCCCAGTACGATCAGCATCAGCGAGAGTGAGAGCATCTTGGTAGCAAATGATCCGCCTACGAGTTTTAACTGGAACTGTAACTGGAGTAGGAATTGGAGTCGGAGTCGGATTTGGAGTAACAACCGACCGACTTGGGTTTGAAAATCACACTGAAATGCAGTTTTCCGCCAGGCAGCCGAACGCCACTTCGGACCAGCCAGAGTGGGACCAAGAGCTTTCAAGGGTAGCCTAGCCTGCCGCTAATACGGGCACTCGTACAGCTAACGGTCTTCTGTTCGTGGCAACTTTCGATTCGATTCGTTTCGTTTCTGTGTTCGGGGGCGGGGGGAAGCTGTTTGCTCAAGCTCTTTTTCCCCCAAAATTGGCAAATTACTGTGTGCTGTGTTACCATTATGTTGTGTCCAAAAGCAAACGAAGAAAAAGTAAGGTAGGAGCCACCACAGTGGCGCACTGATGATGATACACATGTATACTTGTGCGAGACGAGTAGTAAATATGACTGATGACTGGGAACAATATGGGGGGCTAACTTTATTTTGCAAGACAACAAAAATTGTTTACGCTTAACTAGCGAAAAACGATGAATTTCCATTTCCATTTCGTTTTTTGCTTGGGCTTACACACTATAATACACTAAGCATAATGGTATTGGGGGGAGGGGGCTGGATAGGGTGGGATAGGTGCTTGCAATAATTGGGAATGGGAATGGGAAAGCATTAATCGGTCGGTGCGAAGTGTGCCATTATATGTGTAGTCGTATATGGCCAATGTTTTGAAATGATATGCAGTTAGATAATGGGAATGTTGCACTTTATGAATGGAGTGGGCAAATTCTACTAGAGTTAGGAGGGTCTTAAAATCCTAATAAATCTTGTGCGCCGTCTGATGCAAGTCCAATTTGTTCAACAGATCGTCAAACTCGCTGAAGAGCTAAAAGAGAGGCAACCAGAGGAAGAGGATTACATCATTTAACTGGCGATTATAAGTCGTCCCCCCAAGAGGAGCCCCTCTACTCACATGAGTTGTACCATAGCTGTCCACGTAGGTCTTGCTTCCACGGACGGTCTTCTTGAAGGGGGGCAGCACCGGACTGTGACCATGCAGGAGATTCACATTCTGATAAGACTGCGCCTTGGCCGATCCGGCTGCTGACGATGAGTGGCTCTTGCCCACGGTGGGGGCCAGGTCAAGAAAATTGGGCACTAAAAGCCATCGGAAGGGGAAGAGCCATGAGCCATGAAGGAGAGGAGAAACCACCCAAATCTTGACTCACTTTTCTTGGGCTGCAATCTCACTTGATTGAGCAATGGATTGTGCAGCTGGAGCTGCCTGTAGACGGGCAGAGCGTGCTTTGGGGGCACCAGCACGTGCTGGCGACCCACTGCCTGGGGATACAGATAGGTGGTCTCCACGGTGGGTACATTGCGGTAGTGATAGCGACCTTCACGGGGCGTGTACCTTCCATCGGAGCTGAGGGCGATGTGAAAGACGGTACGCGTGGGTTTGTTGTAATATTGATAGACCTTGGGACGGAACAGAGAAAATCCGATTTAGAACGAATGGATGGATGGACCCTTCCGGGAAGGGATCTTCTGCTGACTGATTTACCTGCGGACTGCGCTGCTCGGGCACAATGCCGTCGGGCACCGCTATGCCCTCCTTCTGAAGCCGATTCAGAAAGAGGCGATCCGTTTCGAAGGCGGTTTCGGGCACCTTGCCACCCGCATGTGGCAGAACTTGCTCGCGATAGATTTGACGTTTCTTGAAATGGGTTTTACGACAGAATTATTTATGGTCGGGCCACAACAGGGGGGTTTCCGTTTACACACCTTATGATTGCGTTCCGCAAACTGCGAGTCTTGGGCAATGGTGGCCGGACTCAAGCATAGATAGAGGAGCGTGATCAAGGAGATCACATATGGCGATGGCATTTTTCTGAATTTGAAATCGAATTCCGATTCGGTGGCAGGCACAATTTGAAAAGAATTTCAGCTATTTTCTAGCTACGATTTCGGTGTGCAGAAAGGTCAAGTTGATCGACAGCAAAAAGAGGCACTCACGCGATGCGATGCGCAGACAGAAGACAAACCGTTAAGAGCTCGGTACACAAATCCAGATTGGAAGCATTTTTCGACAAGAAATTGCACAACACAACACAACAACAACAAAACAAAACACAACACAAAAAACAAATGAAAATTAAAATGAAAATGAAAATGACGAGCAGAAAGAACGATCGACAGCGAACCACCGATCAGGTTGCGGTTGCGGCTGTTGAAGCACTCCAAGAAGTGTGTGCCAAGCAGTGTGCCTAGATCCGAATAGCGATCTTCGAACTCCGATCTCCAATCCGCGATCTCCGATGAGCAGAGCAGTGAGCGATTTGCGTTGTGCGGTGGCGTTGTGGACGCGTCGACGGTGCCAAACATAATGAATGCAAATGCACAAAACGACGATCTCCATCAGGCGGGTGCCCATACCCATACCCATACCCATAACTATGTCTGTGCCCTCTGCTCTGCCGCAGCAGCAGTAGCAGCAGCAGCAGCGGCGGCTATGGTGGCGACGTCTGCTGCCAACGTCTAGCACGATCATCATTATGATCATCGTCTCATTTCTGGACATCATCCCAAAAGACATTGTAAACTCTCTGGGCAATCTGTGAATGATTTGCCATTGCTTTTACTTTAGTCTCGGATACACATTTGGTAGTTGGATTAGTTTTATTTGCGGTTTTTAACTGGAAGTGCCAGCCAAATCATTTGGCCAAAATTACCTCAATTAATCTTGTTGGCGAACCTGACCTACGTTTCTATCCCAACCCCCCCCTGAGTCCCCACGGACGTGCAACCCATCCCCCCTGCGGATGGACGTGCTACTTGACTTGAGAGTGTTTCTGTTTTACGGTTAGTTGTTGAAACTTTGCTCAACTAAAACATCTTTGTTATACGTAATTACACTGCTCCCTTGGACACGGCAATTTTTCATTGTTCCGAAGATCGAAGTCAACCTTTTTCTTGTTTTTGAAAGTGATTGCTTGTTGGGTTGGTGGATGGTTGGATGGTTGGCTGGTTGGCTGCTTGCCTGGTGAGCCTTTTGTTTTTAGGTGCCTTTTTGAAAGCTGCTCTGCTGATTGGGGCGCCCTCAAGTCAAGTCAACACTTTTCTTAAACGCTCGTTTCATATTCGTATTGATCGTTTCTTCAGTTATTATTGTAAATATTTGTGTAATTTTTGTTTCTCCCCGCTTTTGCACTGCCACTTTGATCTTGAATTGGTCTCAATGGGGCTTTCGGTGTTTTCTTTTCGGGTGTTCAGAAAGGTTTATTGGCAGCGGGGCCTTGAAGGTGCTGTGAAAGTAAATGAGGACTCGGTGAATGTTGCATAGGGTAGGGTTAGGCTAGGAGCCAGGCCTTTCAGATATATCCACTGAATTTAATAAGGAACCGAACCCGGAAACATTCCCACGCTTCTGTTTTGCAATCAATTAGATATTCACCTTGCATATCAATTCAATAAAATTTGACAATTCCTATGAGAAGAGCCCGAGCGTGTCAAAAGTAGACCCATAATAAATGCTTTATGCGAAAGTTGGAGAAAGTAACCAGCGTGTCGCCGGTGCGATAGGGGTAACCGATAAGAACTGCCACTAGACCAGGGAATAGGCTTGTAATGCCAGGCACAAATAAGCCTATCAGAAAAGGTGTAATTTCAAATGCCAAAAGATTGCACAATCGCGCGAAGCAAACGGTTTTACATTACAAATTACAAGAAACCGAAATGAAAACCACAGCAACAAAAGAAAATCAAAAGTAAACCAACTTCTGCAGTCGTGTAAAAATCAGTCAAAACAGTCAGACCTTGGCTCAATCAAGATGCAACAACATCATCATCATCGTCCCATCCATTGAGTAGACCAGACCTAGTGCAGAGCAGAGCAGAGCAGAGCAGACCAGGGCATAGATTAATTATTTTAAATCATCGCCAGCCTTGAAAGCGGCAAACAACTCCAGGCTCCCCCATCGCCTTCCCCTTCCCCATCCCTCTCCCCAACCAATAATTTGTCTCGACAAGGCGTTATAGACTCGCCAACTATTGTAGTTTTTGGCTGCCACTAATTGGCTCCGAGTCGAGTTTCCTGGAGGGGCTCGCTCTCAACTCTCATCGAACCCATCACAAATGGTCCAATGCGATGTCAAGGATGCGATGGGACCCCTCTCTGGCCGCAGACAGTAACGTACCCCGTATTCCCACGTTGGCATGCCTTTCCATTTTGCATCTTGTCACAAAAGATGACAAGCCAATACCACGACAACGACCACGACCACGATCTTTGACAGAGTGCTCTGCCTGTGTCTGTTTCTGTTTCTGTGTCTGTGATGGTCTCTGAAGAGTGATGCTTCGCATTGAGAGCGGCCCAATGGCCGAATGGAGCATCGGAGGTTACCTAATTGGCCCAAACGGCCAGACCAGACCAGGCCAGTTCAGTTCAATTGCCTGTAATGCCCGCTCTTTCAGCCAGCTCTTTCTCTTCCTCTGTCTCTGCCTCTGCTTGAACCCAGCTTGCCTTCAGACATGGTGTGTGGGATTAGGCATTCGAAGCAACAGCAATAGCAATTCCAATTCCAATTCCATTGCAATTCAATTTGTGGGCCAGCAAACACAAATCAAATTCGTTGCGCCCCTCTACGAGTACTGTATTGTATTGTCCACTCAATACCAATTAACAAATGACTTTTCAACCATTGGCAATTGAAGTTGATCGAGCATGTTTTTCGGCCATTGTATGAACGGATACTCCAAAGCGATACGCGCAAGAGCCACGCGCTGAACCCGCAGGGCAGGCTTGCTCTGCGATAAGGACTGGAAAGCTTCAAGGGCGTGCGAATATTGAACGTGGAAGTACAGTAAAAGCCGAGGTGTTCTTTTAATTTACATTCTCATATTGTAATTTATGGGTAGGTATATATTTACGTTGTATATTCAATTTTTTTTTATCATTGTAACACTTTTCAAAAAGTAAAAATTCATATCAATTTGTTTGTTGTTCCGAATATTGTAATATGGACAAGTCTCAATTCTAAATACTTTTTATTTTATAGGCAGATATATAATTAGAACTCCTCGTACATATGGTACATATCGTACATAGTATGTATAAACAATTGACAGAAGCCTACGTTTAACAAATAAATTGGATCGGATCGGATCTGATCTGATCTGCTTCGTTGCCTTCAAAGGAATTTAAATGCGACATAATCCGACTTTTATAAAAAAATGTTTCAACTTTTATTTTTACTCAATAGGTTTCGATAGGTTTCGTTTCTCGCTATCGTAATTGGTTTTTAAAGCTACAATTAAAATACGAAGAAAAATAACTGTATGCAACAACAACAATAAAATATTGTTTGTTTATACATGGTACAGTGAATATCGGGGCAATTGAATATTATTTATGTATTATGTATGCATGTACTCTGTTATGCGCCCGGCTGTAGGCTTCAGGCTTTAGGCTTTAGGCTTTCCTTTTTATCAAAATAGGTATTCTCTGAGTAATGTAGCAGCCGATCCGCCATACAATATTACGAGCCGATTTGCAAAAGCATCTTCACACTAACTAACGTATTTTCTTACGCTTCTTACGAGCTAAAACATGCTAAAAATTCATGTAGGCAACACATTTTTTTTGCTACAACAAAATACAAAAAAAGCAGAGTGAAAAAAGGAAAAAAAAAAATTGGTGGCATGAAAGATGAATTCAAATTTTGGTTTCTTGCTTTCGTAATACTCTTTTTTTAGAACAGAGAGAGAGAGGGAGAGGGAGAGGGAGTGAGGCGTTGGCAAGGAGGTACGGAAGTAATTGAAGAGATTGCAAGTAAGTCTTTTTTGGTTTGTCTTCGTTTTTTAGCTCTGTACTAAACTGTACGTAAAACAGTTCGAAAATGTTTGCCTGCGCATCAAGTGCATTTAGTACATTTGCAGTTTCTCAGTTGTTTCCGAAACGTTTGGAACATTAAGAGATCACTTGAAATCATTTCAACCTGCTCTCCGGTCTGCTCTGATCTGTACTAAATGCATGCTAAATGACATTTCCTTGCCTTCAGACCTATCAACTACCTTACATTACGTGTGGGTGTATGGGTGCAAGCGTTCTAAACGTGCTAAAACGGCATAGTTGGTGCTGTGTGTGTTTGTAGTAGTTAGGCACTTATTTAGTGTATTGTAGATACGCTTCCACGGGTCCCGAAATAATCAACAGACAGACACAAACAGCAACAGACGAAAAATGTACAAAACGTGGGCGCAGGTTTCTTTTACATCTAACAATAGTTAGATGATTTCTAGGAATCGGAGCCACTCCCGCTGCTTCGGCTCTCCCTAAGTATTCCTATACCCTATTGGTATTATAGCACGGGGCATCCTAGTCCTCCTCAAATCCTCTACCTCCTTTGGCCGGGGGGGAAAGGGTGGGGCGACTTATTGGGGTGCCACTGCGGTGTAGACTTCAACAATATCTCGGATAGCGGCAAGGGAGCCAAAGACAAGTGCGCCAATGCCGCAGATGCAGATGACAATGTTCTTCCACAGAATCCAGTTGTATTTACCGAATCCAGTGTCCCAATGGAGGACCAGCTCAATGAGCACCTTAAAAGGACGAATTAACAGAGTTTGATTAAGAGATCTTTCAAATAATTTCAGTGTGTAAACTTACGGGGAATATCAGACCCAGAATGGAGAAGCAGAAGGCTCCGATAAGACCCATGAAGGGTGCGATTGTGGGCACAGAAATGGCCAGGACAACGGCAGCCGTCACCAGGACAGTGCGCAGCACATAGTTGACCAGCATGGGACGCTTGGTGCACTTCTCCTTGATGCCATCCCAGACGATCTCCAGGCACACATAGAACTGCAGTCCGAATGTGCAGTAAACGGCCAAGGCAATCAGGACCTTCACCGCCTGGGCGGGCCACTCGTGGACGGGCAGATTCAAGGTGATGCTCTGCTGCGTGTCCTCGCCGTACCGCAGATAGCCAAGGAAACCCAAAAGCATGTAGATGAGTGTCACGCCGGACATGCCCTGGCTGAGCACTCCGCAGAGGCCGAGGAAGTTCTGTGGCGTCTTCATGTTGTTCTCCAGCGGCATCACCACTCCGATGGCCTCCATCGCAAAGATGGTGATGGAGAAGAAGGACGGCAAGGTGCCCAGCACCAAATAATTACGCGACTCCAACGGGGGCAGATCCTGCGTCAGATAGTAGAAGGTAATGCCCAGTCCCAGGCCCATGAACACATTGGCCACCATCGAGACGGGGGCCAGGTACTTGAGATTCGGCACCCAGGCAATCAGGATCAGTGGCACCAACAGGGAGCAGATGAGCAGACGCGAGGACACTTCCGTTCCCGTCCAGTGCTCGATCAACTGTTCGAAATTCTTAGCCACAATCACGGTGTACACCGAACAGGTGCCGAAGTACGTGAGGAACAGGCCAAACAATATCGAGAACTTGGCCACGGGGGCAAAGCCCCGGCTCCACTTGGGGCCCTTCTGGAATGCAGACTCGGCAATTTCGGCAAATGTCATCTTGGTGCGACGTGTCTTGTAGTACAGTTTGTGGCCGCATTTCACCTAAAAGATTACCCATTAATTAGATCTATGTTTCGCTAAATTAATGACTAAATTGATGGCAAATCCACTTACCAGCACATAACTGCAGTGCGTGCACACAAAGGCGGTGAAGATGGTGGCAAAGATGCCCATGATAATGCCAGAGTACATGAAGGCTATGGGCATGCCCAGGATGCCAGTGCCCAGGGAGGCCTTAAGCAAATGCGTGAGCGTTTCATTATCGCTCGTGGGATGCTCATTGTCGCGGTGTGCAAACGGATCGAACTCATTGTTGCCCAGGGCCTGCTCGTTGTCCGCCTTGCGTGGTTGTATATGGTATCTGTAATTAAAAGAGAACAACAGGGTTTATCTTTTTGCACTTTTAACATTAACTCAAGGGGAACCTCAGCTCCACACTCGTGGGTTCTTGATCGCCCATTCTCATGCTCCTGCTGCTGTTGCTTGTTTCTGATACTCGTGGCTCGCTTGGCTATTGTCATTCGCAACTGAAGCTCGCCTCGAAAGTGTCGCGTTTTCTTATATGTATGCTGACAGTGAAATTTTGTAACGGAATTGCTGCATCTGCAATTGCAACGGCTCATAATACTACTCTTGTAACTTAATGTCGGGGGCCAAAGAAGGGGTACAACAACTGCTAGTGTTGTTGTCGGGCCGAATTTGGGCAGGCCACTTCTGATTGGCCTGTTCGAGCCAATTGATCACATGAATCTATGGATCTCATTCCATTCCATTCCTATGCCTGACTCGCTTTGCCGTTTCGGTTGCATCAGCCATAAAGAAAACTGCCAACGAAAGCGTGAAGCAGCAAACGCGTACATCGACGTATTCGTTAGCTGCTATACTCCTCTTAGTGTTTCATAAGAAATTAGGTGTTTCTTCTACACAGAATGAGTAGCAGATCATCACTTGTGGATGGGACTCCCACTAGGACCCACAACATAACCCATCCCTCCCAATCCCTTCCTAACGTTCTTAATGATTTGCTTACCGCTAGGTGTCGCAAGAAACTGTTAAATACATGTCATGTATTTTGGGTGTAGAATTGGAATGCAAGTGCCGTCAGATGTCGCCACCGCAGTACAGCAAATATTTGAATGTTCTTTTTGGCCAAATTCTGCCTTTTTACTGATCTAAAGAATCTCCTTGATTAATTTAACCAAATATCATAATAAAATAGCCAGAAATGGACGCGTAAATGAGGACGCTACCTACTAGGACGGTAGTTTTCATTCCATTCTATTGTATGCTTAATTTGTATCACTCATTGTCTAGCAAGTTACACATTCCTTAGCCCAAGAACGCATGAATAGACTTTAGTATGTGTATGTCTATATAGATCATAGATCAGACGGAAAAAATTCAAGTTCATGGCCCTATGAACAGACAGACTCGGGAATGGAATGGTCAGCGTGATTTAATAGTTAAAGATAGTATTACATTTATAAACAATTTCCATGACAGCTTGCCTTTATGTGTTTATGTATGTATATATTTCTATAGTAATCGTAATCATATTTTTAAGTGCCGGATGTCAGTAATTTGAATGACGGCACAATTTTTTCCATTCTATTTTTTTTGTATATTCTAAATATATTTATTATTGAAAAAAAATTCCAATCAGTTCAAGAGCTAAAGTCAGGCGTTATCAAACATACGAAATTATATATTCCACAGCGTCATCCAAGATCAAAGATCATCCTGAAGGGCATCTTTCTGGACTTGTGAAGGGTATCTAAACGATCAAAACGAGCCAAATAAAAGTAGATCTCCCTCTTTGTTTACTTTCGTGTAATTATCATTTGGATCTGGTAGCCAGATTACAAACAATTAGCATACATATATTCCCAAGGAGAATAAACATCTACCAGCTACAGATAATACATGCGATAAATGTATATGTATGGTATAACTATATTTTTAGAGCCCCTTTGAACTTTCGTATTGATAGAGGAGGAATCACTCATATGCATTGATGTAAGGTGATTTATTTCTCTATTTGCGTACTAACGTTGGAATTTCCATTAGATTGACTTTAGTACTCGTTAGGGCTACGGTCGAGGCTCTTACGTGAGTTTTTGCCTATTAAAAAAGCAACAGACTGTTTGATTATACAGTTAGTTATGGTCTAAGCTCGTTATCAAATGTGTAACACCAACGTTAATACTATGTCCATGATCTAAGGCCCCACATTAGGCGTTTACTTCCCAGTCTGCCAGATAGTACTAATTGTAATCAATCTGGCGTCTGAAGTGCCACAGTAGCTTCAAAAACCGGGGGCTCCACCAAAGTCGGAGCACGCCAGCCGTTTTCAGTGAATTGCCTTTGGCGGCATTATGAACCAATTAGCACGAATTTTATTTAATTGGCAAACACATGAAATGAACCACATGAGCCATGCCATCCATCGCTTAATACATTGCTTATTTTTAGCAAACGAAATACTCACGTTTTTCCTCCTTCGCCCGGCAGGAACTGCTCCATTTCCTGGGGCGCATGCTTGGCGCCGCCATCCTGAGGAAGCACAAAGAAACAATTCAAACGAATGAATGAATAAAGGCCATTAATGAATGGAAAACGACAGAAACTACTTACCACAATGTTCACCATTTTGTGTATATTTTGTCTGCTTTTCAAGTGACGTTTTCCTCAGTGTACAACAGAGACTGCAATCAAAAGGGAGAACAGAACGGAATTTGTTGATTGATTTAATAATGAATTTTAATTGAGGCAAGATGTTGCCGCCGAGCCTTAAACTAATAGAATTCCGAGCCAGACATTGTCACTTTATTCGATTTGATTGACTGCGATTCGTGTCGTTAAATTACTTACAATTCCATTCCCCAATCTCGATTCCCGATCCCGCCCCCCGTTTAATTGCTTTGTGCCGCTCAATTTCAATTTGAAGCAGTTTGAATCAATTTATGCAAATAAAATTGTATAAAAATGGAAAGGCCATTCTTTTCTCGTTTCTTCTCTAGATTTCAGTTTCTTGTCTGGTGTCAATCTGCTGCTCTAATGATTCTTTATTTATAGACCAAGCAATATGGGTTCTTTCGTCAACGACACATTTCTGTTAATTGTTTCAGGTTTTTGTCGTGGGCCCCCGAGTATAGAATAGATCTATTATTAATCCGTCAAATCCCGGTCACATGTGCAAGATTTCGCACACAAACAGTCCATCGATTTTTGTGAGTAGGAGTGTCGTCTGTACTTTGCCCTGGCCCCAAAATCGACTTCTCTTCGAAGTGGTCTGGCCTTGTCATCAAATTGCTGTCAAGAATTCCAGTATAGAACAGAATAAAACAGAACAGAACCGAACCGAAGAAGAACCAGCGGCTCAGGGGTTTAATTACGACGCTGAAGTCGGTGTCGGTGTCGGTGTCTAGTCGGGTCTGATAAATGATATATGTTACATATGTATTTATGTGCATATATTTGTGGCTTGCTCTTGTGTGTGTTGCCATATTTCGTTTCCCCTTTCTACAGACGCTTCGTATACAGTTTTTAGCCAGTTGTTTTGGTCATGTTACGTTCCATTCTCGCATACTTCGCCACACTTCAGCATATTTCGCCACAAGGTTGAATGAACTGCCCTGACCTCTCTCTCTCTCTTCCAGGGGTCGCCTGCACTCAGATATGTAAGTCTGTCTGGGAAGCTGCATTCCCTGAAACATCAATTTACATTGACTTGCAATAAAATGTGACATTGAAGACGATTCACATTTTATATTACTGACTCATAAATATTATTTATTATCTAACATCGTTATCAAATCACGCACGAAAATTGCCAAAAAAATACCGATTGCATCACTTCGCTACGATGCGTGTCTACTTTTACTATTCGTATTCATTGTAAATAAAAATGAAGGAATGAAAGCTAGAATGATTTCCTTTTCGATCTTTCTTTGGTTGTTATTGTCTCTACTTAGTTTTCCCCTGATAAACTAAATACAATGTATTGTTTCTCGTTTAAATAAAGCTCTCATTAACATCATTAAGATATCTACGTTTCTTCTCACTATTTGTCTCTCTCTCTCTCTTTCTCTCTTTGTGGATCTATTCTAGAACTGTACTGCCGGAGATCACTCAAAAAATTAACACCTATCTCGTTGAGACGTGACAGATCACTAGAATTCGGTTTAAAACCTTGAAATCGACATTTTAGCAATGTGAAATATGTATGTACATATGTCGAAAAACAAGGGTAATATTATTAGGGATTAAGATTTCGTACGAATGAGAGAAGAATTGTGCAAGAACGAAGGCAATGTATTTTTGTAGCGTGAGAGTGTTTGAGAAAATGCCGACAGGCATACAAAAAAATCGCAGATGCATGCCAGAAACATGTAGCATAAATAGAAGGCATAAATAGTCTGCTCTCTCTCGCTGTGGTAATAGTCCTCTCTGGGAAAACCACCCGGTCGAGCCCCTCGCAGACGGTAAACGAACCACGTGTTTCGGTTTTATTTCTATCTGAAATTACCGCAAAGTGTTTTTGGCTCTCAGATACAGATACCGTTACTGGGAAATCGGCTGGAATCAACAGAGAACAGTCGGCGGCATAGTGCAAAGCATATCCAATATTTCATCAGCAAAAATGTGATCCCCCTCTTTTCTACGATTATATTCGGAATGCATTAGGCAATCATAAGGTATGATATTGGAGCTTCTTCGCTTATCGGCTGACCAACAAACAAAAGTATTGTATTTCCCGTCGTTCAGTTCTTGTTTATTTCGCTATACCGTTTCAGCCCTTCGATATTTACTTGAAGTTCAGTTTGTGGTTTTTGCTAGAGTACTTTTCCCAGGTAGTGATTCTTGTAGTTGGTTCTTGGAAGTTGATAAGGCACATGTTTCTTTAAAAGCAATTTCTCTTATCAAAAGACGATACATTTTTTTTATAGTTTATCTATGGATGACTGAAAGTTGTCAGCCAGTCTTTCATGATGCCTTTGGGAAGCTCTAAAAAATATTTAAGCAGCTGCTTTCTATTGTATGGCAGCTCAAAGATCAAAGATCACTCAAACTTTGTCAACTTTGACGTCATTAGAGAAAATGTTTCAAACAAAAACTGCTGTCCAAATAGTGTACTACTTGAAACACAAACTATCATTATTACGAGTCTAAGATAGGGATACAATTCACGGGGCCTCTAGGAAGACCCTGTATATAAAAGCCCCGTAGTTATCTGAAAAGGTAGCAAACGAATTGCAGCTATTTCGAGTGTTGGCGTGTGGTCCTTGCATAACTTCTAGTTCTGATAACAGTCTGTAAATACACGTATGTACATGTATTTACATACATACATACAAATGTCTGTATGTACATACATATATGCAAAGTTGAGTTTATCGTTTTAGATAATGCTCATTAACATTGATTTCGCATATTATTGGGCAGTATTATTACGGTGCAAGAGAAAGAACTTTATCAACTGTGTTTTTTGAACCGTATGTTGAATGGTTCGATCGATTTCCGGTTATTTTTCAACCTTCTTTAAGGTGTGTGTTACGACCCACGACATTTACCGTTGAGAAGGCGGTCAAGTGTAGTTTTTGTATGTGGGTGTATGGAACAAATTGCGCAAATTGCAGACACGAGCGAAAGGAAGACACAGACCGACAGACAGACAGACAAGAATAGCGGTAAACAACGAATGGTGTTGTCAAACTGTATGATAGACGTGCACCGATGGATAAATGCCCTTACATCATTCTTTGCTATGCTTGGAAGGCTAGTTCTTTCAACCAAATGTCATAGTGAGGGAAGAAGTGTTCCTAGAAAGGCAATTCATATCTCCGTCTCGCTTCTGCCTGCATTAATGCGTCAAACTGTCAAGACGTTGCTCCCACGCAAGCAACAGTTGCAGTCTTGCCATTCATTCTGCCTACGCACTCTCTTCTCTCTCTCTCTTTTGGTTGGACTCCAGTCTGACGTCACAGTTTTACTGCGTCTTTTGCTTTGAAGCTTGTAAATTTCTGTTTTGTTAATTACCCGCAACAACAACAGCAATACTAAAATCAATAATAGACTAAAACGAGAGGGAACGTTGTGAGTTGCTGAGGAGACCGCAACTCGACATTTATACCCGATACTTAGTCAGTATGGCTCTCCTCCGGCAGACGCCGGAGACACAGAGAGACAGGGCGAGAAAAAATGAAATTGTTTTCTTGATGCTGGCTATAATAATGATACGATCCAACTCAGATTTTGCAGTCTAAAAGATATGGTCATTCTCTACGATTCTGTTATTTTGGTTTTCTCGTATCTTATAAATTAAAGTTTTGAAATATTCTTGTAGCAGTGACATATCACAGAAGTCTGGATCCAAAACATCGTTGCTCTACCTCGTATAGTCTTTGAGCACTAGGCGCTAATAGGGACAGACAGACAGGCCTCAATCGACTCGGCTATTGATGCTGATCAAGAATATATGTATGTATATACTTTATGGGGTCGGAAACGATTCCTTCTGGACGTTACACACATCCATTTTCACCACAAATCTAATATACCCAAATACTCATTTTGAGTATCGGGTATAAAAATTCGCGCATTACGAGCGAGATAAGGACCACACGCACACGCACACACAGACACAGACAGAGACACACCTCTACTCTGTTTGAGGAGGTTTCGCACTCTAACCTTTTTTGTTTTTGTTTTACAGCTATTTTCGAGGTTGATTATGCATTTCGTTTTGTCCTTGGATGAGTCAGCAGCTCTAACGGCAGGGAGTGTGGGTGGACGTGGGTGTGCACTGACGCATTTAGATAGATCTGGCCCTGCTTTTTACCATCATAGTCAGTAGTCAGCCTGCCTGCCTATCCATTCCACACACATCGCGTGAACTTTCCCTTGGATTAAATGCTCAATTACTATTAAATTACGTATTGCTATGTAGAAGAAACGTGGAACATCAGCAAGTCAAATGGGGAAAACCTATTCCCAGCCATTGAACTATCGTACACTACAACAGCAACAGCAACGACAGCAACAACAGCAAAAGCACACACAACTTTAAGTAAAGTAGAAAGCGCGCGCAATTACGATAATGATTATACATATTCCATTCATGATTTCTAAGGAAAAGGTTTTTTAAGTCCCAAAAGTGAAGGAGGAGTGACAGGGGCAGACAAACGAAAATTTCAGAAAAAACGTAAAGCAAATAACGGAACAGGTGCAACGTTGGCAAATTGACGTCGACGCTAAGACTGCACGCGTGTCCCATTAAAACGATTCTTTCAGTTTTCTGGTCTCCTTTTTGGTTCTGTCCGTGGGTTTGTAATTATAATTGACATTGGGCCACTGCTGAAGCCCTTACCTATAATTATGCTTTGTTTGTTTTACACCATTTTTTTCCTATTTTTTTAAATTTTTAATGGATTGCAGCGGTTTTTCGTTTCTAAATTCTTTTGAATGCGAATACATAACATGTGTGTGACTTTTCTATTGCCATTGCACTCTGCCGCTGCTATTTTGAGACAAACCCCATTTTCTGCCATGTGCTTCGATTCGTTCTGTTTTTTTTTTTTTTCTTATTTACTTATGTATAGAATACACATGCTGCCTTCATTTTTGCTTACTTTGGGTTTTCTTTTTCTCCGTGTGTACTGTACTAAGATGAAGGCGAGAGGTTAACACTTTTATCGGGTCTACCGGCTCGCACGAAAATGGGTTTTTTTTAATAAATATACATATTTAAAAATTCGCCACTCAAATAAAATAATGCCAAACGGGACAAAACGCGCGAACGACCGAAGAGCAACTGAGCCTCACTATTGCGCTGGTTGTATACATATGTAGCAGCACAGGCACAGTGGTGTCAGTTTAACCATTTTACGGCCGGTTCTGGCGCTTTTGAAATTTTGGAACATTTGAAATGTAATCTTGCGGCTGGCGGGAATAAAAACTATTTTGATTCCGGTTCTAATCAAACATTTGAAGAATATAATTCATAATCAAATGTAATAAACACCAATCCCATTACTGATTCCATACACATATAAGTGTTTTCAACGGGCTGGTAAAGAGCAAAATAATCTGACTGGAGCCAAGCTGTAGAATTTGTCCATTATCTGATTAAAAGTAAGAAAAGAAGCCCGATCTCCATATTATATATTATATATTATATAATTTATAATTTTCTACTTTGTACATTTCAAATTTTTTGGCTGTTTCTAGCTTTTTTTGTACGCTGATCTGGCTATGTGCGCTGAACTGAGAGCGGGCCAAAAATAAAAGAGAGCAAGCAACCACGATAAAGAGACCGGTAATATACATATGTATGTACATAGAGCGAAACATTCGGGTAATGAGAGGGGAGGGGAAGGAACGTGGTGCAAAGGATAAGAAGACAAAGGATGGGCATATCTTATAAAAAACTCTCATGAAGGGGAAAAACGGCCTGGTGTTACCGACCCATCTTTGGCTGATGAAATTGAAATCTAACTTTCATGAGCTCCTCCTTGTAGAAATGATGCATTGCATCATCCTCAAAAGTTTATTAGTGTTCTACATTATTAGAGATAAACCAAAACCAAGTTTATTGGTAAAATGTAAAACTTTATTCAAAAAATCAGCACTAGTTTTGGTTTTTAGATTACAATTAATTTGATTTTGCATAAATTATATGAAACCGCATGAATTTGTTTCAATTTACAGGAATAGACAAAAGTTGTTACACGTTTGAGATTCGATTTAAGGCAATCGATCAGTTAGAGTGGAATATGTAATAATACAATTTGAGCTGAATTTCAGACAAGCTGAGGATTGCACGGGAAATTCTTACAGAATATCGTTGTATTTATGTATGGTATGTGTTTGCTGATCTGATCCGTGATCTGTGGCAGAGCTGTATGGGTAGCTATATAGATATGAGGGTCTCTGGTCTGACTGTGTCTGTAGTTTCTATGTGTGTCCACAGTTTGGAACTGTGTTTCAGTTACTATTGAGTTTGAGTTTAAGAGTTATTGTTAGGTTTTATCTGTGACTTGAGTTGACTTGAGTCCAGTTCAGTTTGGTTGATTGATTGACTGTAGTTTGATGGTATATTAGTTGAGTTTCAGTGCTTGTGTGTGATGTGAGGGCTGTGCTAAAAATTCCTTGTCCATGGACGTAAATGCTTAATGTCTAGAAAAGTACGGGGGTATATGGCAGTATACACAATACATTGGGGTATATAAAAGTCGCAGTCGTATAACTCGTTCAGGTGGTCTACACATTTCCGATTTCTCCAGCGCTTGCATCCGAATTTTTGTATTTATCAGAGATTCGTTTTATTTGAAGCCCCAGCGCTCTATGGCTTCAAATAAATGAACCGTCAGTGCTCCTCCGGTGGGGTGCGGAACTCAGAGATCCAGTCGGTGACGCGTAAACGAAAGAGATCCGTCTTGGTCACTATCCAGTCCCGATACTGGTGCGGTATATACTCCACCAGTTTTTCAGATATCTCCGGATTCTTGAACATAAGCATGTAGATGAGCAGTATATTGATAACAACGAGCACCATGAAGGTAACCAGTGTGGACAGGGCAACCTTTTGGAGCATATTTAGCCAGGAGGTGCTGTTGGTCGATTTCTTCTTTTGATTGATCTTCTGACTGGCAGATTTTGCCCCATTCCCTGCTCCCACAGCATTTACTGGTTTGAATGTTAGGTCTTTCTCCGCGGCTTCGGCCAATTTCTTCAACTTTGCTTTCTTGTTATTTGGTTTGGTCGACTTCTTGGCCCCTGCTCCGGCGCCATTGGCCAGGGAACTGGTGGACCCATCCCCTCCTGCAGACATTTTGTCAGCACTCTGTTCACGCTCTTGGGAGACCTGGGCCAGACGGTCGCGTTCGATTTCGGGCTTCAAGTTGGCGCAGACGCTGACCTGCAAAATGCGAGCAAAGTTGCACACAAGAGGCCACTCAACCCACTCGAGTGGAGTGGCACTTTCCCACTTACACAGTTCTTGGCCGCCTCTTGGCACTCCTTCATCGTGGAGCACGGACCCACAATCTTCACCCAGGCGGGTATTAACGGATTGGTCTTCAGGTCCAAATATCGCAGTCGACGAAGTTGGGAAAAGCTCATTGGCAAGTGCTCCAGGCAATTGTTGTAGAGGTCCAGATGACGCAAATTCACCAGCAATCCGAAATCTTCGGGCAGATAGCGTATTTGGTTCTTGCTTAGATCGAGCCTTACCAGCTGAGTGAGTATGGGGAAGTGGCGCTGCAGGGGAAAAATATCCATTAAATGAACTGACTTTCTTAAGTGGTAGGACTTACTCCCAGGTTAGTCAAGCGGTTGCTGGACACATCCAAAACGGTGACTCGCTTGAACGAAGCCTGCAAAGGACAAAGGCGTACTGAAAAAGGAGTTGCATTCAGGGAAAGGAAGCAGGGTCACATCACCGAAAAGAAACCCCCAAAAACGACATACTTTAAAATCTCATTTCCCTTCTTTTTAATTTTTTTGGCAACGCGACCGCACGGAGAGGGGTGGTAAGACCAAAAATCAACCCCCTCAAGCAGTTTTAGCTGCATTTTCACACACACTCACACTAACACATTAGAGCAACCCACCAACCACTCACACACACACATCACTTCCTCTGCGCTTCCTGAGAAGAGGGGTAGAGCCGCAGCCATCGTCAGCGTTAATTGCAAGCCAGCCGGCAGGCAGCCAGAGCAACAACAAAACCAACAATGGGAGTAGGGAGCTCTTCTCGCTCTCTCTCTCTCTCTCTCTGGGTGCACAAGCGAGATAGACTGTGACTAGACTTTTGCCAGACGATAGAAAAGTCAACGAGCAGAAAGGGGACGGTGGATAATGCAGATGGAGACACCACACAGCCCAGCCACACATCCGCTGGTGTGTTAATTAGCCCAGTAATTTAACTAATACTCACAATTTCTTTGACCGGTATTTCGCTCAGCTCCGAGAGACTCAAGTCGCAGTGGTCCTCCTGAACACGATCCTTCACGCTTACTTTTACCTTTTCGCCGGTTTTCGGCATTTTATAAGGACAATCTCTGCCAATTTCCGTTTCTAAAAAATAACAAGCAAGTGCCGCAAAACTGCGAATCAAAACACAGCCGGACGGCAGAGACAGCCAGAACACCGATAGTACTATCGGAGCACGAATGGTACTATCGATGTCTATTTTGTTTAAAATGCACGCACCTTTTCGTTATAGTATAATTAATTGATTATGCATCGAGTACTTTTCGGAATTTTCAACAATTTAAACTATTGTTGAATATTATTTGTGTTGCGTTGTTACGGGTAAAATCAAGTTATTGATATGTTACTTCTGACAGCTGTAGCATCGATATGTTTTTAGCAGCACTGGAAATTCAACTGGGGGACAAGCACATCAATTTAAAGTGGGGCGCGCTTTATTGAAAATATGAATTTTGTCTTGCCCCAAGAACAATCAAGTGCATGCCCTCTCATAAAACGGCGGACGTCAGCAGCGCCAAAAGGCTAAAACATAAAATATATTTAAACCAAGAGTCTCCCCATTTCATCTTATTAAAACCACGTCAACTTTTGGCCATTTTACATTTATTGTGTAAAACAAAGTTTAAACTATAAAATTTTGCGCCATATAGTCGAATTGGCAGGCTACCATAGCTTAGTCCTCATCCTCTTCGGGAGCAGCAGCACCACCACCCAGGTTCTTCTTCAGGTTCTTGCGCTTGACGCGACCAGGACGGCCGCCACCGAAGGGCGACTTCAGAGAGAAGTCGATGTGCTTCTGGGAGTCCAGGCGCACAACGAACGATGGGATGTTGACAACTTGCTTGCGCACACTAGATGGGGAGAGCAGAAGATAATTCGATTAGTTATGGCTGCTCACAAGTCCAGCACGTGGTGGCTGCGAGGTTTTGGCATGGCGTTCAGTGCAACTTACGCAATGCGGGGTTTGCATTAAGATTGGAGTGAGCAAAGTCATCTACACAATCAAAAGACGTTGAGAGCCGGTGCAGGCATTTGCCTGTTCGACTCCCAAGTGGTCTTACTGAACAACACATTTTTCTTGTGATTTATTGCCTAGCGACGTTTGACGTCGCTGTCCAAGCGATATTTACCGAATGTGACGCTGGCGGATCAGCACACGGGCATGATGGATGGACTTGGCCAATCCAAGCTTGAAGACCTGGGTCTGCAGACGACGCTCCAAGAAATCTTCAATCTTCAGGCCGAGCACGTAATCGAGCTTCATGCGAGATTCGTCCAAGACACCAATGCGCACCAGACGACGCAGAAGGGCATTGCCTGTGGAAAGAGTAATACATTTAATACGAATTCTAAAATTTCATTCTAAACGCGTGTCTTGGAGCATTTTCAGTGTGTATTTGTTAACGTCAATGATTTGTTCAGACAAGAAGTGTCAGAAATTATATTATTTAATACAGCTCATCATGACACACCACAGGCGAAATATTCCATCTGCTCTACTTACCCTGGAAAAGACGCTTCTCGTCCTTCTCATCGAGGGTCAGCAGCTCACGGGCAGCCTTACGGATCTTGGCCAGAGCGTACTTGACGCGCCACACCTCACGCTTGTTGCGAAGACCATATTCGCCAATGATCTTCAACTCCTGATCAAGACGCGCCTTCTCATAGGGGCGACGGGGAGTCACATAGGTCTTCGAGAAGACCGATGGTATGCGGCCGTTTACCATGATTCCAACAATTCAACCGTCTGCAAAGCAAATGTAAGGTTAGTTTTCAATCTCGTGCAATCTCAAACATCCAAATAGATTTTTCTCTGATCTATCTATTTAGCTGTTTGTTGAAGCCTAACACAGTCTTGGTTAGCAATATTTTTCACATTTTCACCTATTTTACTGTATATGTTCTGAATCTTGCACACGAGAATTTTTACGTACGTTTCGGTTGGCGATTGGCGAAAGAAGAAAGAGGTGGACTAGAGCCGTGTCACGGCGGATTTGTTGATCAAATATACGGTCTGACCATCAGAAATATACCAGCATATACCGTCTCATTTTAAAAATATACCGTAAATATACTGACGAATTCAAGTTCTATTATACATATTCCTCGTGTTTGATATTCCGTCGATTATTACTAGCTAGATAGAACTCTCAGCCCTGCCCACATAATTTTATCCGAATAATGAATAAATGGTTCTTCTTGGCTGGCATTTTTTTAAATACTTGATTTGTTTTCCTGCTACGGCTATTGCTTTGATTGTTTTTGCTTAAATTTTGGTACCTCAACAACGATCTAACGTCTCGTATATCGATAGGAAATTGAACTTACACCACTTAACCCCCCTCTATTTAAACATTTCAACGACTTGAGGTAAATGGCGGAAAATATTACCGATTGTAAATTCTTGTTATATTAGCATGCTATCTAATAATCTTTCCTCTGAACTTAAAAATTGAACTGCATGGAGTGTATTTTAATATTTTTAATACTCCTCGATTTTGATATTCGGCTGAATATAAGTAGCTAGCTAGGACACTCACCTCTAAACACATCATTATATCCGATTGATTAATAAATTTCCTACAAGATTGATGAAAACAAAATGTTTAAATAAAAATGGACATCGTAAATGTAAATTTTGTACATGGCAACTACACATTTGTTACATCATTTGCTACACATCAACAACATATTTACGGAGTATGCACATTTGTATTTTCGTTCATTAATTCGTTTAAGAGATCGCTTTAAAATTCGTTGAGATAGCTTTAAAATTTAGAGACTATTTTTGCATGCGTAAAAAAAGTTTATCAAATCCGTCATTTCATTTATTATAGCCTGCATGACAAACATTTATTCATTCTCCTTTTGCCTAAAAAACCATTAAGAAAATCGTGTGCCTAAATGTAACTCAAGGGAAAATTTGCTAAATAATATCAAATACAATGCTGCGATCATTTAAAACAACAACAAGACAACGCAACAAATGCACACAGCAGAAAGCCGGTGATTTTTGTTTGTTTTGATTTACGGTTACTGCTTTTCTCGATTTCCCCTTACATTTTCTTACTCCATAGCAATCAAAATTATCACAAGTGTGTAATATATTTGCGTTTATTTTGTTGATTCATATAATTATAAAATAATAATTTATTAAATCTGGGTTTCAGTCACAACGCTCTGCAAATGAGAAACATAAAATTGTAGGCGACAAATTTGAAATAATGTCAAAATCTCTAAATGCAAAGAGATAATACGTACCTAAAATCCATTCTTGAATGAATTTTTATTTATAAAGAGACATGGAAGAGATACAGAGTCCGGATCACATCGAACTATCTGCTGCTTGGGCATGCTGAACGAGCGCGGCCTAGCCACGAAGCGTCCCAAGCCCGGATTTTTGCCTGTTGCAATAAAATACAGCAGCGAATCGAGTGCCCAAGTACTTCCCTTAGACAAGTCCTCCATTGTTTCTCTCGAAAGGTTGACATGTAAGCACTTAAGGACCTTTTCATTGAAGACAATCCAATTGACCAACTTCAAGGCTTGGCTGCTGCGGGGAACATAGTATTGCAGTTGCACCAGGCGGCCATACTTGTTCTTCAGGATCTTTGCCACAGGCAGCACGTCCGAGAACTCGCGGCGTGTACGGGCATCTAGCACGATGTTATTTTTAACAAGCCACTCATCTAGCACGTCGCGCTCCTTCTCCCTCAGACAACGGATGCTCGACATTATCCCAGTAAACTGACAATCGTTCGTGACTAAACCCAAATGTTTCTTAAACAAAATACTTTTACACAATTTTTTGTTCATTTTAATTACTAAAATGTATAATTCGTGCGCTTGAACGACTAAAATCTGACAAGCCAAATAATACTCGATCACGTGTAAAATAATCTAAGCTAAGCTACAGAAAGTAGAAACTCAAAAGAATGCCTTTCAACCCGGGATACATAGTCTTTTACGTCAGTAATTCACTTCTACAGTTTGGATTTCCGCCATGGGCCCATGTAATCCCATTTGGTAAGGATATTTCTTTGAGTATGTCTTTGAATATGTAAAACAGTGTATAATATTGCGGTCTCTTCACTTAGTAGGAGAGGTCCAGATGTTGGTTAATTTTCGTTTCAATTGTGCTTCTAAAGTGAATTTTGGGAGACTAGTGCCAAACAATGGATGTCCTCGTGTTTTTATCGCCACCTAAATTGTTGACGTCACATCCATTTAAGTTTCAAATTTAAGTTAGTAGGTTTTTCAAACTGTTTTTGCGACAGAACGTTTCGGGAAGGTCTTTTAGTCTTTCTTGAGATAGATGTTGGGTACTTTGGGCAGTAGTTGAATGTTCACGTTAAATTACGTTGAATATGCGGCTTATATACCATCCTCATACTTTTCAACATAGGGGGAAAGTGGGAAACACGACCGCTAAATATGTTCTTGTGTTAATTCTTGCAGTTCGTTTATCGTCTTTCTATCTAATCACCTTTTTTTTGGATCTTGGCCCTCGGCTACTGATTTTTATTCCGCTAAATTTGTCTCTATCTCTCTCTCTTCTCATACCAAGACCAGCTATATTGCTATCTCGCTTCCGTCCGCATACTGCACGATTAAGAGTGGGATAGAGAGATAATAAATAAGGGCCTTGAAGGGATTGCGTAGCCACTGCAATTTGAATTCTTCTTTCTGGTAGATAAGGTCATTCTCTATGATTATGCGTTTTTGGGTTTCTCGTAAAAATCGAAAAAAAGCAATTTTGGTACATATCCAACCCCCAACCTGAACAGTCTTTGATTCAGTTATAAACAATTTAATGTAGCATAATATAAAAAAAAATGTAAAACGATTATAAACTTAACTATGTATCTGTATATACAAATTATGTCTAATCTATTCGAATACTACAAAATGGGGAAATAGGAATGACAGTTGTTGTAAATGAAATGGTGATATCGTTAAATACTATACTGCATGCCGCTGGAAGCCTAGAGAGCTGTGTAATACGAGAGGCCAATCTTTTGTACAGGAATATTACCGGGGAACAAATATCAAAAATTAATTCTTACAACTATTTGTGCCTTCTGCTGAACGCATGAAACGTATACTTAAGTACAATCAAATGAGCTTTGCTTTCCGACTTTCGCAGTTCAAGTCGATTTTCCATTGAGTCTACTTAGTTCGCTTGGACTACACGCGTCAACTGCATCGCTTGTTCCACGGCTAATTCGAGATTCCACAAGAGGAGCTGCAATCTGCAAGTGAAGCTCGTAGTCGGGCGCTGCAAAAAGAAAGTTCCAATTACAGAGCTGGGCCAAAATCAAGACTAGATGGTTGAAAGGTGTGCGTGCAGATGGAGTGGGTGGTGAGTGTAGCAGGTGATTAAACAGAGGTACAAGCTGTAAATGAAAGGAAATGAGAGCCATAATAATGTTGATTGGGTGGAAAGCCAGAGATGAAAGTGGGAGAGCTCGAATGGGGCTCACTTTGTTCCAAAATGCATTCCAAGTCATCCGGACAGTCTATCGTGGGGAAATCAATGCTGGTTGACTCCTTCAGGATGACCCCGATATCCTTGTGAGCGCTCATCAAGAACAATGGAACGTTCGCTTTAGCCAGCTCCTTGTGCAGCGACCCCATGCCTCGCGCGGCAGTGAAATCAAAATCTACAAGAACGAGCATTAGTCTCCGACGCGTCTAAGGACCAATTAAGATCCTTAAGCTTACCATGCACATGAGCGCAGTCCAGGACCACCGGCGCAGTTCCATGCGTCGTCAAGGCTTTAGAGATGCCAGAGCGAACCCACTCGATGGCAGGAAAGTAGAGCGAGCTGTGCTTGGGACGAATCAATATGTAGTTGATGCCATTGATGGTTTGCAGCTTGGACACACTCAGAACGGGTCGTGCTGCGCGGTAGACCAGGAAGGCTACATCCGCACCAACGCCCAGCAACAGCCCAATCTCCACACCCACAGCCAGGCTCATCACAAAGGTAATGGCACCTGGCAGTAGCTCCCGACGGCTGCAACGCCACAGTGGTCGGATGACCTCAAACTCAATCATAAATATCACAGCCGAGATGATGACCGCACTGAGAGCGGCCTTCGGTATGTACTGGAAGTACGGCGCCAGCAGGCCCAGTGCCAGAAGGACCAGCACGCTTGTGTAGCAGCCACCAAGCGGTGTTCGCACCCCACTGGCATGATTGACAGCACTGCGCGAGAAGGAGCCCGTGACCGGCATGGAGCTGCAAAAGGCACCGCAAATGTTGCTCATAGAGAGGGCAACCAGTTCCCGGGTGGCACTCAGTCCGGCACCACCAAATGCTTTAGAGATGGCCACGTTTCCGAGCACAGCAATAATGGGCAATATAAGCATCGAGGGCCCCAGCTCCGACACCTAAAAAGTGTGAGAGAAAGAAAGAGAGATGTGACGTGATATTTCATATTTAATTTTTCTCTTACCATTTGCTCAAAGTTCTGCGTAAGCTCGGTGCCATTTTTGTCCAAAATTGTGGTCTCAAACTTGGGCAGTGTGATGTTAGGCAGGCCGCTCTTTACCTTTCCTGTGAGGATGTACGGACAGGTGTCCATCTGCTTACACGTGCTGTAGGCCAGCACACTGGTCACGAGAACCACCAGAGCATTTCGACCAGTGGCTATCACCCAAATGGTGCCGCTAATCAATTGCTGTGCTCTCAAGCTGCGGACTCGCCCAGCAAACTTCACGTCTTTTAGTTTCTGTTCAAAAGAGTCTACGTTATATTCCAAGTACGAGTCCAACTGGATGAATCCTACTCACCCGCAACAGCAGTAGAACCGTAATGGAAACCAGTCCTAGGGTAACATCACCGCGTCGCACCTGGCTCAGGTTCCCCAGCACGGAGCGCATGGTATTGATGAAATCTGATCCCGAACCTCCACGCAATCCCAATAGGCCCTTTAGTTGAGATGTGCCAATTATAACAGCCGTGGCCGAAGTGAAACCCACTGTCACCGGCAGCGAAATGAGGTCCACCAGTGCACCCAGCTTCAGCACAGCCATACCCATCTCCACCACACCCGAGATGAGGCACAATAGAATGGCGTAGGCCGGTCCCGAGCCCAGTCCAAAGCCTGTGTGCCGGCTGGTCATCAAGGCGAGCAAAGCCGTCGGCCCAATGGTCACCTGTCGACAGCTGCCAAGCAAAGCGTAGACAATTCCACCAACGAAAGCCGAGTACAGGCCGTACTGAGGCTCCAGGCCCGCCAGTGTGGCATAGGCCAGTCCCTGGGGCAACACCGTCAGCCCAACAGTAACCCCAGCTATCATATCGGCCACCGCATCTTGGCCGGTATAGCCATGCAGCCACTTAAGACCCGGAAACAATCGATATCCCCAATCCTTCAGGGTCATAATTGATTGGTCTGCAATGGAAAAGGCATTATATGGATATAATAATCAGATTCACGGCAGAGGATCGAGAGCAGGGCAGATATTGTAAGTGGGTTTGGGCTTTTCAAAAGATCTAATACTGAGGTTCAACGACTTGATCATCACAACACAACACGCACTTTGCATAGTCATAAAAGTCATATACCATACGTGATAGCAAATCCCATCAAAATGGTATTGACTATTAACAGTTGAATGGACGGCAGGGACAGAATAAATATTTCTTTATGTTAAGGAAAGAGAGGGATTGAGTTAATATCGAATGCTGGATAAAATCTGCATAATCTGTGTGAAATAAAAAAAACAAAGAAGACTGGCTGATGACAGCTCTAGCAATTATTTTTAACGATTGAGCTACGCTTAGACATATTAAACTTGATATAGGCAAACCGAATCTTGGTGGTTCCGACTTTCATATAATACGTACAGTTTAAGGCAGATTCAGGCAAAATAATTTTTTTGTATAAAAAGAGGCTAAGTGATAGCCTACACAGACACAAGCACATAATGATAACAATTGTTGTACAGGGTCGGGAACGCTTACATCTTTGCGTATAGGAACCGTCAAGTAATGAATTCGGTACACCTATTTCGGCCAGGGTAACACACTGATGCTGACAATAAGAATGCGTAATCCGGCCAATTCCAAGGCATTTCAACCAAATGCTAGGCCATACCGTCATATCAGTAGCTTCAACACTACAATTTCTAAACCCCTCATAAAACTCACGTAAGTATTTGCACAAATGTTTCGTTGTTGTTTAACCGCAGAGCACGTTCGATAGCGTTCTAAACTGCTAGAAGCTCTGCGAGCATTTCGATTCCGAAAAGCTGTTGAACGCTTTGGGCACTGGCCCAAGAATGAGCGAACAGACGGTTCGATTGTTGCTCGCGTGCCCGAAGAACTGTGACCACAGAATAGAATCATTGATCACACGACCGTCCCAATTAGCTCAACAAGTGGGAGAGTTGAAAGTATTGGTTGGGTTCGCTTAAAACGTGCTCAATTCGATCTAAACAATTAAGGAATATACGTATGGACAAATGAGTTTCTTTGTTTGGCAAATGATTAATATACAATTGAGATTCACCCTTTCATGATAAGGTTATGTAAATTGCGTGTTAACAATTACCCTACAATTTTGAACAATTTAACTGTATTATAAATCACTTTACAGGGGAAATTCTATAATATTTATTTGCTTAACAGAGCGTTTACATAGAACAAACAGAATTTTTAGTGATGGGGTTTGTGGAATTGATTTGGGCGACTGCGGCTATGAACTTGTTGACGCATTAATTTACACGCCAAGGACACGAGATAAGAACATTCATTACCGGCATTGAAAAATATCCATGCCAATTCAATTCAATCTTTTTTATCAGCACCCGAATTCAATGAGGAAGGAATTTCGCGTCACGTACAAGATAAGGGCCGGAAAAACTAACACCCTGTAAATATGTAAGCCATAAAGTTAAAGTCTGTTAACCTTTTAGAGAAATCAGTGAAATCAGTTCTCCCCTAAAGCCACGCAGTCGAGAGGATGGAGAGACAACGCACTGTAATTGTCGGTTGATTGTTGACAGACGGCTGCGTGATGGAATCTGCGTGTTTTTTTTTTTGTTTGGTCAATGCCTTCCATGACCAACAAAACTAGTTTTCGTTTGCACTCAGTTCAAAAATTTCGTGTTAACTCTCGAAAATAAGGGAACAAGATTGTTTACTTGGGTTTATTTATAAATTTAGCTAAGTACATATTTATCTCTTCTGGGATTTTGGGGGCCAAGGTGGAAGAAAGTAGCACACACACACCCGTACACATATTCAATGGGACGCCGACACCAAACAGTAGCTTTTCAATGCAGTTAATTTATAAGACAATCACAAGCGCACAGGTACCCATTCATTATAAATTGTTCATTGAAAATTAAGAGAGAACTACATTTTTTTTTACCGGTGAAATTCGCCAAATAAACTAGTTTTGTTGTGGGGCTTACGAACAGCTGGCGCCAACTAGCTTCTTGAGCATGCAGCCCTGGTCGGCACAATCAATAAGACCGTACTTGCAGAGAGAGGTTAGGTTAGTTAGTGAGGTTAGTCCTAGTACTCAGATCCGAAAAAAGTTTTGCTACAAAAAACCTAGTACTCAGATCAACTAAATTTGCTGTCGGTTAGGCAGAGTGAGACCAGATGTGCACGCTCTACGGTTACACTGTTGTATTTGTTTATAAATAAAATCAGTGAAAAATTAAAATTTTGTATGAAAGCAAGCAGGAATGCTTGGAAATGTTTTCCACTTGTTTATTCATTTATACTAAGTTATGTTTTGATGAATAAAACTATTCAAAAATAATACTTGCAAAGAATCGGGGAAATATGACTGGATCAAGGATCTGGAACGACCAGATCGGCCCACAAATAGTTAAGAATATAGGATATATATGTGTTTAGAAAATATCCTTGATCTTTATTCCTTGATAAAAAATGTCGTCTAGTGGTCGTGCCTAGCAAAATACCATTCCATCGGCTTTTTTAGTTCTTATCGGTATTTCATTATTTGGTACTGAATTTTGCCAGCGTACAGCCGCTAGCAAAAATGTTTTGCTAGCAGAAATTTTCTTATCGGTTTCATACGTTATCATCCCTAAATTAGCTCGTGTACACTTATTTCGTGAATACTATGACGTTTTTTCGGTATATTTCTGAGGGTCAGACCGTAGATGTTGACAATAAATCCGCGGTCACACTGCTAGACTGCATTCATCAATTATTTATTATGGCATTTCTCCGATTTTCAAATGTTTGCTAAATAATTTGATTGAAGCCACCGCAGGATATCTAATGAAAGTGCTGATCACGTGCCCGCTACGAGAGCTATTTACTCAGTGCAATAAAATCGCAACCAAGGACGGGGGAAAACCGCAAGCCAGACAGACATTTTCTCCCACTTTACAAGCGCCTAGAGAGACGCCGAATATTCCGCAACACCGCAAGAGGGACAGAGTCTTCCGCAAAGAAACATGAAATGGGTAAGCTTCAAATGAAAATGCATGTTTTTCACTTGAGTAGTCTACAATTCGGTTGGTGGGGTCTGCTTCTGTGGCCTTGATGTCTAGTGCAAAACTAAAATTGCATTGTCCGCATCTTCCATGCCCCAGTATGTGTTTATGTGAGTACTTTCTGTGTTCGTGTGTGACTGCGCCTTGTGGGGCGTTCTAACTGTGGTTTTGCCAAGCGCGGGAAAATCAATAGCATCCCATCCCGATGCACTTTTCGTCCAATCAAAGAAGCAGTTGCGAAAAAGAAATAGTATAAACCGATTGAATTCTGACTTGTACTACCACCCTTTTGCACCCCATACACCACCTGACTAGCGAGGGCGCATATCGAATCCCATAGAACGCCATCGCTTCGTTGTGCAGCCCTGAAGTCAACGTTTCCCAACGTTCTGTTGCAGGCATTGTTGCACTGAGGTCATTTAGAAACTGAAACAATTCAATATTAACACGTAATATCGAAAGAGAGAGCTTGTTCCTTGAGTCTTGAGCTTAGGGCAGGGCGAAGAGGTGGCCGAGGCCGAGGCAACTCCGCAGCACGAGCGACAGGCGACGACCGGCGACGATGTAAGTAGCGAGCGTTAACCTCCTATCAAAAGTAACCACCTCCCAGCAAATTTCCAAAATCGTTTTCGTTTGCGTGCCTTATTTCGTTATCGTTTGTTTTTATTGATATTTTGGTAGCAGAGACAAAATTGTATTACCTCTTAACAGCAGAATTGGCAACAACTTCCAGTTACAATCCTTCGTTTAGTTCCGCTAACGCGCTTAACCAATTGGTCCTGCCATTAATGTTTAGTTGCTAATCCCCAGCCCACACAAAACACAACACAATACAAGGACACTGGCACATGAATTGGAGCTCATATGTGTTTATTATTGAACTGTCGAAATGTATTCCCAGAAATGATGTGCCAGAGCTCTCATAAAACACTCAATCTACATAGTACAAATATGTAGATAGTTTATAAAACACATAATACATTTATTACACTGCTTGGGAGAGACAAATCTAACGTTCGGCCTCAACCAATCCACAGACAATGCCCTCGGCCATTAGCGGCGCTCCGCACGGCCAAGTGCACATACCCAGCAACGAGGAGTGCGGCATCCGAGACGTGTGGAAACATAACCTGGAGGAGGAGTTTCGCACCATACGCAAGGTCGTGCAGAAATATCATTATGTGGCCATGGACACAGAGTTTCCCGGCGTAGTGGCGCGACCCGTTGGCGAGTTTCGATCCACCGCCGACTATCACTATCAGTTGCTGCGCTGCAATGTGGATCTGCTGAGGATCATTCAGCTGGGTCTGACCTTTATGGACGATGATGGCAAGACGCCTCCAGGATACTCCACGTGGCAGTTCAATTTCAAATTCAATCTAAGGTGAGATAATGGTGTTAATAATGACAATGATTGTGTTGTTTTTGGTTATATCATAAAATATCTTTGCACTAGTGAGGACATGTATGCCCAGGACTCGATCGATTTGCTGCAAAACTCTGGAATACAGTTCAAGAAGCACGAGGAGGACGGCATCGATCCAATTGAATTTGCCGAGCTGCTCATGAGCTCGGGCATTGTGCTGGTAGACAACATCAAGTGGCTGTGCTTTCACTCTGGCTACGATTTCGGCTACCTGCTCAAGCTGCTCACTGACCAGAATCTGCCCTGCGACGAGGCTGACTTCTTCGAGCTGCTGCACATCTACTTCCCCAACATCTTTGACATCAAATATCTGATGAAGTCGTGCAAGAATCTAAAGGGAGGCCTTCAGGAAGTGGCCGATCAGCTGGAACTGCGTCGGGTCGGACCCCAACATCAGGCTGGCTCTGATGCCCTGCTCACTGGCATGGCATTCTTCAAAATGCGTGAGGTACAGCACATAAATGCACATAATTTGCACATTGTCCCTGAAGAGACTATTGTACTTTTTTCCTATCTGCTTGAGAATACCATGCACTTAAAGCCAATCGTCAGCACGATCGCTCTCTTTAGCAGCCTATCAAACAAAAACAACAATGTTGCTAAAAATGCCAGTGCTAATGGTAATGGTAGTGGTAATGGTAATGGTGAAGGAAAGTGCTCTACCGACGTTCCTTTGACATCATCATCATCATCGCCCTCATCATCACCAAAAGCGGCCGGCAGTAGCAGCCTTCTAATTTCAAGCTCGTACACTGTCACGCCACCCACATCCCCAACATTGGCTGGGGGGGGGCATGACGTAGTGTCGCTTGCTTTGTTTATTAGAGGCTGCAGCACCAGCACGGAGAGCTCTGATTCCTAATCCTTGTGTGTTTCCGTTGCCTTGCCAATCAATCAATCACCACTAACTCGAATCATTTCAATCATTTATTTGGATTACGGTTTGGTCTATGGTTTCGTAGCATTTCCATCCCTAAACTAGACTCTATTTATTATTTTTGTACATAATTACATAGATTATAGAACGCATTGAATGCTGCACTTGGAGTGCAAGTGCTTTTTGCCAGTGCCGAAGGGCATCTGAGCCACAATTAATGGATCAATGGATTAATAAGCTTGAAGTGTTTATCTCTTTTTTTTTAGTTAGTTAGTTTAGTTTGTTGAACAATGAATGAATTCTAATCTTAAAGTAAGTGTTTTTTAGTTAGTTTAAACTGTTTAAGGTCATGTGAAACATGTCTGTTAATTTTAAAGATTACGAAAACGAAAAGTGAAGTTAAGAGAAAACGTTCTATGTTTCTGAATGGAAAATTAAATGAATTGAAATTAATTTTCTTTTTCAATTTTATTTATGATTTCTGGTGTGTGGGTCTTGAACTATGTATTTTGCATTCTTGATACGCGCTTTTTGGCTTCTCTTATCTTGTTATGTTTCATTTGGGCTTGAGAGGAATATTAAACAAATTTAATTAATATTGAATGAAAATTATCAATTGTATTTCGAGTTATATTTTAAAGCTATTTGCTTTTTTTTCCTTTTCTTTTATTATTTATTCAAAGCATACATACTATATACAAAACTGATTATGATGAAGAATTTTAATTATTTTTGTTTAGCATTTACTTCTTAAGTTTATTTATGTTATATTGTTTGTTTACGTTAATTTGTATTCTTTAACTCCATCTCCTCATATCTTATGATTTTAAGATCTATCTTGGCGTAAATTTCGAAAAAATGCATTTTTTGTATACTTATTACGGCGTTGGCTTTAGTCCTTAAATAATAACCAAAGACTGCAGAATTGTACACTATTATACGATACCCTCAAGACTAAAAGATACAAATTATTAAAACAAGAAATAATCAGATCAGATCGGTAAACGGTATGTAACATATAATTTAATCAATTCCAATAACAAAAACCTTGAAATAGAAAACAATTTATTTGAGATATCTTTTACTCTGGCCGTAGACAGATTTTGCTTCACTCCAGTAGATATTTTTGCATTATTTAATCCTTGTGTACAAAATGTTACCTTTTCTAACGCTTTTGCTCTTCGGCAATCTTCTGGAATCTTTAATATGTAATCTGTAATATGGAATGTTGTGTGTCTAATAGAATCGCCTTATCAAACTTCTTACAGATGTTCTTTGAAGACAATATCGACCATGCCAAGTATTCAGGACATCTGTACGGCCTGGGCACCTCGTTCATCGTGAACGGCAACAACTTCCACGAGAGCAATGGCGAGACGAGCAGTGCCTCATGATTTATACTGATGGGCAATGCTGTTGTGCCTGATAAAAAGCCAGTCGAACCAGAAGGAGCCGGAGAAGATGCCGCACCGGAATCACCACCACTCAAGGACACTCGGACAACCGAACCCACTTTAACAGCACCGCAATAATCACCTCCTCCTCTCCCAAAAAAAAAAAACCTCCCCATAAAACAGACCATCAAAACAGCTTTTGCACTTTCCATTTATAATATTCCCGTTCCCCGTCAAACACAAATTTGCTGTTCATTTAAAGAAAAACAAATACCAAACCAAACAAAAAAGAAACCACTGGCATAAACAAATTTTCAATCTAAAAGGGAAATAGAAAAAAACGTCAAACTGAAATAGAAATATAATCAATTTCTGCATGTCTAAATGTGTTACGAATACAAAACTAAGATAACTAAGCTAATATTGTAAGCCAAAAGGCCACATAGAGTGTCGTGTCTTTGTATAAAACAAAACAAAAAACAATATATTTAAACATTTTTAAATTAATATAATTCGACACGATTTTTATTATTGGTTCTTGGATGGGCCCAGTAACAAAGCAAGAATAATCTCTGTTGGAGGATGAAACTGTCAAGCGTGCACATCTTAAACCTTTGTACAATAATCTCGGGTATATTATTTTTAAAATTAAACGACGATAAGTTACCGTGTGCATCGATTATTAGAATAAAAATATCAACAAAAATATATATCGATAGATCAATGTATCAATATAAACTGAACAACATTATCAGGGTGACCGTTTATATGTTATATACTAATGAGGATATTTTGACGTCAAAAATTAGTTAAGAGCTTAGTTAGCTTTTTTTTTCATCAGTGTATTCTGGGGGTCAAACCGTATATTTAATCAACGGCCACAGCTAATGTACATATCAACAGATTGCGTGTGTTGGTATACTCTGGGTTCGACGGTATATTTTATTTGTGAGGTATTTTGTAATATGTTCTAGTGTTTTTCAATGTTTTCATGATATTTTTATTCTTTGTATATTTTTTAAAGTATTTTCTAATATTTTGTAGTATTTTTGCAAGAAAAGTACACACAGTTATGTAGGAAAGTGATTTGTCAATCGGATGAAATTATGTGTTTAGGGCTGAGGGTCCTAGCTATGTAGTAATATTCGACGGAATATCAAAAACGAAGAATATGTAAAATAGAACTTGAATTCGCCAGTATATATAAGTATATACTTTTAAAGTAAGACGGTATGTTCTGGTATATTTCTGAGGGTCGGACCGTACATTTTATTAATAAATCCGCGGTCACACTGATCTCTAGGCAGAGGGTTTTTACCCAAAAATTAAATAAAAAATAATCATTTTTAATTGCAACGTGAGTCTGTTTCACGTAAAATATTGCAATACCTACGGCACTGATTCGTTCGCTTGTGTTTTGAGCTCGGATAAATGAGAGAAAACACGCTGAGATGTAGATGTTCACTGAGCGGCCGCAACAGCAGCAATAACAAAAGCAAGAGTGAAATTTATGCAAAGAGAAAAGTGCGATTAGCGCCAACGCCAATACTATGGAGAACTTAAAAATAAGTGATAAACTGTTTGAGGATGTGATATATTTCGTGCTTGGAAACCTGGATGAAGAGGTAAAGATTCCCCGTAGCTGTACTGCATTTTGATCGAGTGCATGCGCGCGTATGTGTGTGTGTGTGTTTTTAGCGCGCTTCCCCCAAAACAAGAGCAAAAGCGTTGCCATACTCACGCAACTATTACCTCTCTATCTCTCTCTCTCTCACGGCGACATGAGAATCGCCGAGTTTTAGCATGTGTGTGTGAGGGGGTGGGGCGGCGGGGGTATTATTTGTACTGTTGCGAATCGAATAAAACTCATTTTATGTTGATTTTCCATTTTGCAGATTGAAAGATTCCTGAAAAGTGGTGGCGCCCAGTCGAAACTTTACCTCTCGGACAAGATCACACATCTGATATGTGCCACCAACTACTCAGAGGAGGAGCTGTCGATGAACCTGGAGCTATACAGTGTGATTCCCGTCACCGAGCAATGGATCCTGCACAGTGCAAAACTGGGCCGCATGGCCTCTACCCGCGCCTTCGATCCGAGTCCACATCAGCTGCGTCTGATGCGCGGCATCCGAGCGGCCATCACCAACGTTGTGGCCAGCGATCGGAGGCGCCTTTACGCGATGCTCACATACCACGGTGCCGTTGTCACCCACAGCTTTGGGGCCACCAATACGCATCTGGTATGCGGGGCCGCCAACGGCGGTATCTACAACAAAGCGCTGGCGCTTCCTAAAAATGCCATAATCATTGTGACACCAGACTGGGTGACGGACTGCCTCAAGTGCAAGAGCTGCCTGGCATCGGAGCCGTATCATCCCAGGCTGCTGAAGCCTATTGAAAAACAGCGGGCCCAGAAGCAGCAGCAGCATCAACAACAATTGCAGCAGCAACAGTTGCAACAACAACAGCAACTGCAGCAGCAGCAGCAGCAGCAGCAGCAGCATCAACAACAGTTGCAGCAGCAACAGTTGCAACAACAACAACAGCAGTCTGCCCCACCATCCACTCTCTCGGACATCTTGGGCTTCGGCGAGGACAGTGCAGCGGCCAAGAGCATAGCCAGCATAAAGTCGCAGCTGCAGGCCTCGGCGGAACAAATCCAACAGCAGCATCAGCAGCTACCTGTGCCACCCGCCCAGCAACAGGTGGTGTTTGTTCGTCCCCAGCCGCAGCTTCAAAGCCAGCAACAGCAACAACAAATGCAACATCAGCTGCAACAACAACAGCAGCAGCAGCAGCAAGGGGTTTCTCAAGCGCCTCCTCCACCGCACCCGCAACAGCCACAACAATTGATAATACAACAGCAAAAGATAATCCCCGCCAATCTTCAGCAGCAACAACAGAATCAGCAGCAGATCAAGAATATACTGCAGCAGCAAAGACAAATCAAGAGCTCGCAGCAACACTCTCAGCAGCAACAACAACAGATCCAAATGATGCAGCAACAGCAGCAGCAGCATATTCAGCAAGAGCAACAACAGTCGCCCAGACTCCCCACAACCCCCACTACGGGGCGACAAACACCACGCACGCCGACAACAACGCCGCCCGTGCAATCGCCCCAACAACACCAGCAACAGATAGTGCAGCAGCAGCAAGTGGTTCAACAGCAGCAACAAGTGGTTCAACAACAACAACAAGTGGTTCAACAACAGCAAATTGTTCAACAACAATCAGTGCCTGTTTCCCCCCAAATCCTACACCAACACTTGATGCGACAACAGCAGATATTGGGCCAGCAACAAATGCACTTGCAGCAAATCGTTCAAAGCGGCCAAGCACTCAGTGCCCAGCAGCAGCAGCAGCAGAGGCAGATTCAACAGCAACAGCAACAAATACTGCAGCAACTACAGCAATTGCAGATGCAAATTCAACAGCAGCAGCAGCAACAGCAACAGCAGCAAAATCTTCAACAGCAGCAACAGTCCCCACGGATGGTACAAAATAGGTCGCCCGTAATGCCACCGAACACGCCCTCTCCTTCGTTGCAACAGCAGCAACATCATGCCACCAGCAACATGCTGCCACCTCAGTCTCCGCGCCAGCTTCAATCGCCAGCACCGCAAATGACTCCTCCGCCACCTCCTTCGCCACAGAGTGCCCAGCAGCAACAGCTCCTGCGACAGCAGCAGCAGCAACAGCTCCAACAGAGTCGCCAACAACACATGATGGGCTCCCCGCAGCAGCCACAACCGCCATCAATGATGTCTCCGCAGCAACAGCAGCAGCAACAACAACAAATGCCCTTCCAGCAGCCCGTTCACCAGCAACAACGCATGCAATTGCAGCAGCAACAACAATTGGCCCAACAACAACAACAGCAGCAGCAAAGTCCGCAGCACATCTCAGCCCCTCAGAGTCCGCAGATATCGCAGACACCGCCAATGCAAAGCAAGCAGCATCAGCATCCGGCAGTGGGGGGACAGCCGCAACACCAACAGCAGCAATCGTTCTCCCAGCAGCCCATCGATCCAACAGATCCCGTTCAGGTGGCCCAAGTGCTTAGTCGCTCTGCGCTGAGCAGCAATCAGGACTCTTTGATCATGCGTCAGCAGCAGTTGAAGCAACAGCAGTTACAGCAGCAGCAACAAATGGCACCGCAGCCCCAGCCGCAGCCGCCCCAACAACCACAACAACAACCCCAACACACGCCATCGCCGCGACAATCGCCCTTGCAGCATCAACAGTCACAGCCAACGACACCCGCGATACAGCAACAACAAACATCTCCAGTATGTCTGTCTTATATATACTATTTTTATATACAATTAGTATGTTTAGAGGTGCTCTACGTCCTAGTTGGTATATATTATACATTCTTCCTGTCTGTAAGTTGTAGCACTTTATCCAATCCGATTGTTTGCAATGTTGTCGTCGCGAGCCGCAACGATTCCCATGGCGTGAGTTTCCACCCTCCATCCCGACTGGGTGTTGGACTCTAAGATAGCTCTGGGTATTAAGAGCTAGCGAATGCGGTCGCGAGGAAAAAATAGTATAGGTCGGATCATATAGGTCAAATATCAATGGGAAAATAAAAAAAAAAAAAAATAGTGTGGGTCCTGAATCTTTGGTTCAGTCTACAGTCGGGCCGGGAATATTTTTCAGTATATTTGTATAAAGGACTACTAATAAAAAACGATTCTGCTTTCAGCCAATGCAACAGCAACAGCAACAACAGTCAATGGCACCGCAACAACCAGCACCTGGACAGCAGCAAGTCATCACGCAACGACATGTAATCAATACATCCACGGCGCAAGGGCAACAAATCATACAGAGCCACATGATGAATCTTCAGCAGAAACAGCAGCAAATGTTACATGTTCAACAGCAACAACAAATAACACAGCAGCAACAGCAGCAGCTTCCACCGCAGCAACAACCTCAGCAGCAGCAGCAGCTTCCACCGCAGCCTCAGCCGCAACAGCAACAAGTTCAGTTCACACAACAGCAACAGATTGCCCTGGGAGCTGGTGGACAGGTACGGATCATTCAGCAAACGATTCAACGACCACAGCAACAGCAGCAAGTTCCCCAACAGCAACAACAGCAGCAGCAGATCCTTGGACAATTTCCGCAACAACAGCAGGTATGTGCTTACTTTACCCACTAATATTTATCGCTGATAAGTGTTGTTCTTGATTGTCATAAATTCAAGAAGCTTCCGACAAACATATGTACTAGAGCCCTCATATCTTCGAATCGCTCGGACAAAACGGACTGAACGAAAATTGTTACTGTGTCAGATCCGAAAAGTTCGGTTTTTATCTCTCACTCTTCACGAGAAAGCATTATACAAATTAGTTTTTTTTTTTTGCGCCAATTTTAACAACAATTTTCGTTAAACCCTTTTTCCTCGCACTGGGTTTTTAAGGATTCGGGGTAATTCGAATCTGACTGAAGGCAGGATTCGTATTGATCGAACGCATTAAAGGGGCATGAGTATAGCTGAGTACTTTTTTTCCCAACCTATATATTATAATTTTATTTCGGATTACAATCTTGCAGCCTCTTCAGCAACAACAAATGTCACAGCAACAGCCTCCTCAGCAGGTATTGGGACCGCAGCAGTCACAGACCCAACCGCAGCAGCAGCAACAACAACAACAACCACCACAGCCAATGCAACCTCAGGGAAAAACTTTCATTATCAGCCATCAGCACTTCAATCAATTAAGCGCGCAGCAGCAGCAACAGATTATGGCGCAAAATCAGCAGAATCAAAATGTGTTCCTTGTCAATCAACCTAGTATCTCGCAGCAGCAACAGCAACAACAACAACAACAGCAGCAGCAGCTCGTTCAGCAGCAGCAAATGCTGCAACAGCAGCGCATGCAAATGCAACCCCAGCCACAACAAATCGTTGTCAACCAACAAATTTTAAGCGATCCGCAGCGCTTACAGTACCTTCAACAACAACAATTGATGCAGCAAAAGCAACAACAGCAGCAACAGCAACAGCAACAACAACAACAGCCGCAGCTTGTGGGAGCAACACAACAACAGCAAATACATATTCAGCAACAACAACAACAGCAGCAGGCGCCGCAACAGCAACAACAAATCCTGCAACAGAAGCTCCCAATCGATCCCCAGCAGCAACAGCAGCAGCAGCAGCAAATCATGCAACAAGTACTAATAAAACAACAACAGCTGCCCCAACGAACACCCCCTCCGCAACAACAGCAGCAACAACAGCAATTGCTGCTGCAACAACAATCACCCCAACACCATGCACAAATGCAGCAATCAGCGCATTGGTCTCCGCAGAGCCCTGCCTCGGGCCAGATGGCACCAACTACACCCGGCACGCCCACCAGCAGTGTTGGAATGCAGTCACCGCTACCCGGCGGACCGCCAACACCCCAGCAGCACCAACAGCCACCGCAGCAGTTTGCACCGCGTGGACTGCGGCCGCAAACATCTTGGCCAGGACAGCAACATCAGCAGCCTCAAGCTCCGCAGCAACAACAGCAACTTGTGTTGCCGCCACCCCAACAACAACAACAGGCACCACAACAACAACAGCAGATTGTATTGCAACAGCCGCAACAACAGAAAATAGTTCTGGATGAAAAAACGCATGCACATTTCATGTCTCTGGACGCGCACAAACGAGCCGAGTACATTGCGAAGCTGAATCAGCAGAACAAGCCCAGGGTAATGCTGCGCCAGCAAGTGGCCTATCAGCCACGTCCCGGCACTCCAGGAGTAGTCGCCACGCGACCTTCTGGTCCAGTTCCCCCGGGCCACATAATTGTCCAGAGTCAAATGCCACCGGGACTCACACAGCAGCAACAAATGCTCTGGCTGCAACAGCAGGGCACACGTCAGGTGGTGGTGCGAGCCGGGGGTACTCCCGGTCTGAGTCCCATTCCCATTCAGCAGCAGCAGCAGCCAGGCGTCGGACCTCCGCAACAGCAACAGCCACCGCAACAGCCCTTCAACCCCAACGACCCTAACCAGCAAATGTTGCTGCAGAGACAACAGCTTCGGGTCCAGCAGATACCCATCCAGCAGCAGCAGGCGCCCCCGCAGATGGGCAAGCAGACGGTTCAACTCATCACCGGACCGAATGGGCAGCTGATTGAGCAGCAAACGATCGTCCAACAGCAGCAACAGGCTACCACACCAGGCACACCCAATCCGCAGGGTGGCGTTGGCAGTAGCGTGGTCGCAGGTCCCCCCGGAAGCGGGAACATTATGACGCAAACGCTGGTTATGACAACAGGTAGGTAACAATTAAATTAGACTGTTATTTTGGCTTTCCTTACTGCCGATGCTGCTATGCACAAAAAATGTTCGATTGTAGATATAAAATCCCTTTGTTGCTTCCCTCCAGCTCCAGATGGACAGCTGCAGCAAACGCCACAGCAAATGAACCTGAAGACAAAGACTGCGTTGGCTAATATGCTAAGTAATCGCCTGGGCAATAATGGTGTGCAACCGCAACAGCAGCAACTGATCCAAATGGCTGATGGTCAGACACAGCAGCAGCAAGCTCCCCAGCAACAGCAAATTGTCCAGCAGGTGGTGGTGACTGGGGCAACACAACAGCAGCAACAGCAATTGCTGTTACAGCAACAACAGCAGCAGCAGCAACAGCAGCAACAACAACAGATGGTGGCACAGCAGCAATTGGCACCACAGCAGCATGTTGAGACTCCGTCTGCTGCCGGCGCACTCCGGATGATGGGCCAGCAGCATAATGCAGCAGCAGTGGGAGTGGCTGGTCCACCCAGAACCCAACAGGAGTTGCTCATGCTTCAGCAGCAACAGCAGCAGCAGCAGCAACAAATGCTTCAGCAGCAGCAAATGCGGAGAGTGGTTGGCGTTCCCCAGCAACAGCAGCAACAGGTTCCGCAGCAGCATCTCGTCCAGCAGCAAATTGTTGTGGCTTCTTCACCCTCGCCACAACAACAGCAACAACAGATGCCCGTGGGAGTGGGCGGCGTGCCGGTGCAGCGTCCACCGCATGGTTATATCCAGACACGCCCCGGACAGCCGCCGATCCCGATGCCGCAGTTCTACGGCCACAATCCGAATCTCAAGCTGCCCGTCGATCTCTTTCTGGTGGGCTGCACCTTCTTTATTGTGGAATACGACGAAACGGACAGTGACGAGCTGCCCATATGGCTGGACACTATTCGACAGTTCGGCGGGGACATTGAACGCGTCTACTGCCCCAGAGTGACGCATGTCATCTGCCGCACCCAGAGACACGGCGTAGTGATGCAGGCTTTACGAGATGCCAAGCGCTGTGTGACCGCCTACTGGCTGAGCGACATTTGCCTGAAGCGGCAGCTGATGCCTCCTTGGCAGCCGCTCCATTTGCCCTTCCCCAGTCAGTTTGGCTATCGCAAGCCGCTGGAGCGGTACATTATCACCTCTGAGGGATTCGAGGGCGAGGAGATGGTGAGACTGCAGCAGATGGCTGAGGAGTGCGGGGCCATCTACACCTCGTACCTCTCCAAGGTGAACACTGTGGTCGTTTGCAAGCAGCTCGAAGGCAATAAGTTCAATGCGGCCAAGGAGTGGAACATTCCCATGGTCAATGCCCTGTGGCTCAGTGATGTCTGCATCGGCAATCTGAGCGGCCTCTCCCAGTACGACAATCCAAAGTACCAGCAGTACAATCTCGTGGCTCCGTTTCGCATCGAATGCAACTTGGTTGCCCATCTGCTAAGTAAATTAACCTATTCTTTTCTGTTCCAGATCATGTACTAAGTTCAATTTCATTATCTTTTCCAATAGCTGCCTGGAAGGCGCCCATCAATTTAACTCAGGAGGCTCACGAGCGCGTTAAGCGTCATTTATCCGATCCCTATGGCAATGAACAGAAACTGAAGCGCCAGAAGATGAACTCTTTCCAGCAGGAGCAGCTGCCCGAACAGATTGTCTGCCTAGAATACCCCACAACCACCAAACCCCCGAAGGTGATATTCTCTCAGGTCGCTGATGCTGAAGCCCTCAAAAAGGCTGTGGTGTAAGTACTAAACAAAATTAGTTGAATTAGATAGATTTTACGAGTATTACTTGCAGAATCTTGGGTGGAATTGTTGTGGACAGCCCTGCAGATGCCACTCACCTGGTGATGACACGCGAGAGTCGCACCTGCAAACTGATTCAGGCCTGCTGCCATGTGGACTATGTGCTAAAGTCGAGTTGGATCGTGGAGAGCGCCAAGGCGGGTCGATTTGTGCCAACTGATCCGTATCGTATACAGCACATACCAGTCGACGAGAACCTACAGTTCAATCTGGACACGGTTTTGTGTGCCCCCACGCGCTCCACGCTGTTCGCTGGCAGATGTTTCCACGTGACACCGGATGTGTTTCCGGCCCGCGAAGAAATCATTCGCATGATTGAATCGTCTGGTGGAAAGGTTGAACCAAAGCGACGCAGCGGTGCCGCTGTAGTTGAATCCCATGTTCAGTCGCCCGACTCGTACATCATTGTTACCTGCCCCACGGACATGCATCTGTGCGCGGATTTGACGAGGCACGGCAACCCCAAATGTCACATTGTCTCCACCGAGTTCGTGATGAGCTCAATTCTGAAACAGCAGCTGGAAATCGAGCCCAATCTGATACCTTACTTGTACAATAACAACAATGCCAACAGCTGTAACAACAACAAGTCCTAGCATCGTCGAGTGTTCTGGTTGTTGTATTAGTGCTAAAACAAAGTAAGTATCAGGTTTCAGGATATAGGTGTATAAAATTTAGAAGTTGCAAGTTGTTAAATAAGTATATAAGAGAAGAGAGAGAGAGAGCATCCATGTGAGCCACCCCATCAAAATAACATTTGCTGACTAGACTGATGATGCAATTTATTCGGAACCTGCCTGAGGCCCTGCCCAATTTCTTATGATATATACCATACCAATAGGAATCTAGTCGACTGAACTCGTCAACTCAGAGGGCCATGCAAGATGGGTTGCACAGCTACATATCGTTTAAATTTCACACCCTTTATGTACGGAATCATTTTTCTAACATCTCATCTTATCTTATACACAGTAATTCATTTTTTTCTTTGGCGTAAGCTGACATTTTTTTGACAACCATTTGAATTATACGAGTATATACGGCATACGCCAGTATAACCCTACTCTGAATTTTTATTTCTTGAACTTCAAACTCCCTATGAATTGTATATAATTTACTTTAATAGCAATGATTGCAATGATCTGTATTTGTTTATTTTTTTGGATTATATTGATATACATAACTCAGTTCTTGATGAGATGTCATAACCGACCGATATGTGTAGGAATTGTGAGGATAGAATGTAAGAAAAGATCTACCTTAATTAGCCTAAAGAAGAGTTATATAAAAGAAATCAATCAATATATTTTTCTGAGGGTTCTTGAACCAGCTAGCTGTAAAAAGTCACACAAATATACATACAATACATATATATTTCCCTAGAGTATACGAAAATGTTTCACAGAAATTTATATATTGCTGGCTATTAGTATTTTAAGTACTTTTCACTTAGTTAAAGCCAATATTTTCTAAACAAATAATATACAAATGAGAATATTCTTAGTTAGGCACTGTACGAAATCAATTAAATAAAAACAAATTACTGAATGCATTCAAAATTTTGTCGAACTATTATTATTGCTAACGAATCTAAGAATATATTAATACTGGACTGGGTATATGTACATGTGTACTATACATATACACACATGCCAAATACATATGTATCTATGTAAATTATGCTCAATCATTAAATTTGCCAAAAATCGACCTCATTTTCGTTGTCGAAATGCCAATGGCCGTGGTTGATGACAATCGACAGGCTGGATTCCCACGGTCCTGGGAAGGTAGGGGCCGATCGGCCCATAAATAGCCGAGATATAGCCTTCCGAAGATTGGTATTTGCACATCATGCAAATACTAGTTTTTTCTGTAAGCTATATCTCAGCTATACGGCTGCCGATCGAGGCGTGGCATGTCTTTTCGTGATGGGGAGAGTCCTGCCAACCGATTGGCACCAGAGAAGAGGACATCCACTCCTTCACGATTTTCGCCAAAAATCATGATGGTTACATCATCCAATTTGGCAAAAATCGGCCTCATTTTCGTGGTCGAGATTTTGGTGCCAATCGACAGGCTGGGTCCTCACGGTCCTGGGAAGGTAGGTCCTTCGCTGATCTGGCCCTATATAGCAGAGATATAGCCTTCCGAAGATTGGTATTTGCACTTCATGCAAATACTAGTTTTTTCTGTAAGCTATATCTAAGCTATACGGCTGCCGATCGGGGCGTGGCATGTCTTTTCGTGATGGGGAGAGTCCTGCCAACCGATTGGCACCAGAGAAGAGGACATCCACTCCTTCACGATTTTCGCCAAAAATCATGATGGTTACATCATCCAATTTGGCAAAAATCGGCCTCATTTTCGTGGTCGAGATTTTGGTGCCAATCGACAGGCTGGGTCCTCACGGTCCTGGGAAGGTAGGTCCTTCGCTGATCTGGCCCTATATAGCAGAGATATAGCCTTCCGAAGATTGGTATTTGCACTTCATGCAAATACTAGTTTTTTCTGTAAGCTATATCTCAGCTATACGGCTGCCGATCGAGGCGTGGCATGTCTTTTCGTGATGGGGAGAGTCCTGCCAACCGATTGGCACCAGAGAAGAGGACATCCACTCCTTCACGATTTTCGCCAAAAATCATGATGGTTACATCATCCAATTTGCCAAAAATCGGCCTCATTTTCGTGGTCGAGATTTTGGTGCCAATCGACAGGCTGGGTCCTTACGATCCTGGGAGAGTTGGTCCTTCACCATTCGGCCCATAAAAAGCCGAGATATGGCCAACGAAAAAATTTTAATTGAATCTGACGCCAACTGGCAGAAAATGAGAAATTCTGTGCTGGGATACCAGGCAAACAGAAATCAACAGAAAGCAACTTCACTTTCGTTCAACCCCAAAAGTATGCTATGCTTCAAAATTGAAGTTTGCTTTGTAACTAAAAGTATGCAACACAAATTTAGTTTGCGGAAGGTATTTACGCATCATGCAAATACTGTTTTTTTCTGTAAGCTATATCTCAGCTATACAGCAGCCGATCGGGGCGTGGCATGTCTTTTCGTGATGGGGAGAGTCCTGCCAATCGACTGCCATCGGAAAAAAGGACATCCCTTCCATCACGATTTTCGCCAAAAATCATGATGGTTACATCATCCAATTTGCCAAAAATCGGCCTCATTTTCGTGGTCGAGATTTTGGTGCCAATCGACAGGCTGGGTCCTCACGGTCCTGGGAAGGTAGGTCCTTCGCTGATCTGGCCCTATATAGCAGAGATATAGCCTTCCGAAGATTGGTATTTGCACTTCATGCAAATACTAGTTTTTTCTGTAAGCTATATCTCAGCTATACGGCTGCCGATCGGGGCGTGGCATGTCTTTTCGTGATGGGGAGAGTCCTGCCAATCGACTGCCATCGGAAAAAAGGACATCCCTTCCATCACGATTTTCGCCAAAAATCATGATGGTTACATCATCCAATTTGCCAAAAATCGGCCTCATTTTCGTGGTCGAGATTTTGGTGCCAATCGACAGGCTGGGTCCTCACGGTCCTGGGAAGGTAGGTCCTTCGCTGATCTGGCCCTATATAGCAGAGATATAGCCTTCCGAAGATTGGTATTTGCACTTCATGCAAATACTAGTTTTTTCTGTAAGCTATATCTCAGCTATACGGCTGCCGATCGGGGCGTGGCATGTCTTTTCGTGATGGGGAGAGTCCTGCCAATCGACTGCCATCGGAAAAAAGGACATCCCTTCCATCACGATTTTCGCCAAAAATCATGATGGTTACATCATCCAATTTGGCAAAAATCGGCCTCATTTTCGTGGTCGAGATTTTGGTGCCAATCGACAGGCTGGGTCCTCACGGTCCTGGGAAGGTAGGTCCTTCGCTGATCTGGCCCTATATAGCAGAGATATAGCCTTCCGAAGATTGGTATTTGCACTTCATGCAAATACTAGTTTTTTCTGTAAGCTATATCTCAGCTATACGGCTGCCGATCGGGGCGTGGCATGTCTTTTCGTGATGGGGAGAGTCCTGCCAATCGACTGCCATCGGAAAAAAGGACATCCCTTCCATCACGATTTTCGCCAAAAATCATGATGGTTACATCATCCAATTTGGCAAAAATCGGCCTCATTTTCGTGGTCGAGATTTTGGTGCCAATCGACAGGCTGGGTCCTCACGGTCCTGGGAAGGTAGGTCCTTCGCTGATCTGGCCCTATATAGCAGAGATATAGCCTTCCGAAGATTGGTATTTGCACTTCATGCAAATACTAGTTTTTTCTGTAAGCTATATCTCAGCTATACGGCTGCCGATCGGGGCGTGGCATGTCTTTTCGTGATGGGGAGAGTCCTGCCAATCGACTGCCATCGGAAAAAAGGACATCCCTTCCATCACGATTTTCGCCAAAAATCATGATGGTTACATCATCCAATTTGCCAAAAATCGGCCCCATTTTTGTGGTCGAGATTTTGATGCCAATCGACAGGCTGGGTCCTCACGGTCCTGGGAAGGTAGGTCCTTCGCTGATCTGGCCCTATATAGCAGAGATATAGCCTTCCGAAGATTGGTATTTGCACTTCATGCAAATACTAGTTTTTTCTGTAAGCTATATCTAAGCTATACGGCTGCCGATCGGGGCGTGGCATGTCTTTTCGTGATGGGGAGAGTCCTGCCAACCGATTGGCACCAGAGAAGAGGACATCCACTCCTTCACGATTTTCGCCAAAAATCATGATGGTTACATCATCCAATTTGGCAAAAATCGGCCTCATTTTCGTGGTCGAGATTTTGGTGCCAATCGACAGGCTGGGTCCTCACGGTCCTGGGAAGGTAGGTCCTTCGCTGATCTGGCCCTATATAGCAGAGATATAGCCTTCCGAAGATTGGTATTTGCACTTCATGCAAATACTAGTTTTTTCTGTAAGCTATATCTCAGCTATACGGCTGCCGATCGGGGCGTGGCATGTCTTTTCGTGATGGGGAGAGTCCTGCCAATCGACTGCCATCGGAAAAAAGGACATCCCTTCCATCACGATTTTCGCCAAAAATCATGATGGTTACATCATCCAATTTGGCAAAAATCGGCCTCATTTTCGTGGTCGAGATTTTGGTGCCAATCGACAGGCTGGGTCCTCACGGTCCTGGGAAGGTAGGTCCTTCGCTGATCTGGCCCTATATAGCAGAGATATAGCCTTCCGAAGATTGGTATTTGCACTTCATGCAAATACTAGTTTTTTCTGTAAGCTATATCTCAGCTATACGGCTGCCGATCGGGGCGTGGCATGTCTTTTCGTGATGGGGAGAGTCCTGCCAATCGACTGCCATCGGAAAAAAGGACATCCCTTCCATCACGATTTTCGCCAAAAATCATGATGGTTACATCATCCAATTTGGCAAAAATCGGCCTCATTTTCGTGGTCGAGATTTTGGTGCCAATCGACAGGCTGGGTCCTCACGGTCCTGGGAAGGTAGGTCCTTCGCTGATCTGGCCCTATATAGCAGAGATATAGCCTTCCGAAGATTGGTATTTGCACTTCATGCAAATACTAGTTTTTTCTGTAAGCTATATCTCAGCTATACGGCTGCCGATCGGGGCGTGGCATGTCTTTTCGTGATGGGGAGAGTCCTGCCAATCGACTGCCATCGGAAAAAAGGACATCCCTTCCATCACGATTTTCGCCAAAAATCATGATGGTTACATCATCCAATTTGCCAAAAATCGGCCCCATTTTTGTGGTCGAGATTTTGATGCCAATCGACAGGCTGGGTCCTCACGGTCCTGGGAAGGTAGGTCCTTCGCTGATCTGGCCCTATATAGCAGAGATATAGCCTTCCGAAGATTGGTATTTGCACTTCATGCAAATACTAGTTTTTTCTGTAAGCTATATCTAAGCTATACGGCTGCCGATCGGGGCGTGGCATGTCTTTTCGTGATGGGGAGAGTCCTGCCAACCGATTGGCACCAGAGAAGAGGACATCCACTCCTTCACGATTTTCGCCAAAAATCATGATGGTTACATCATCCAATTTGGCAAAAATCGGCCTCATTTTCGTGGTCGAGATTTTGGTGCCAATCGACAGGCTGGGTCCTCACGGTCCTGGGAAGGTAGGTCCTTCGCTGATCTGGCCCTATATAGCAGAGATATAGCCTTCCGAAGATTGGTATTTGCACTTCATGCAAATACTAGTTTTTTCTGTAAGCTATATCTCAGCTATACGGCTGCCGATCGGGGCGTGGCATGTCTTTTCGTGATGGGGAGAGTCCTGCCAATCGACTGCCATCGGAAAAAAGGACATCCCTTCCATCACGATTTTCGCCAAAAATCATGATGGTTACATCATCCAATTTGGCAAAAATCGGCCTCATTTTCGTGGTCGAGATTTTGGTGCCAATCGACAGGCTGGGTCCTCACGGTCCTGGGAAGGTAGGTCCTTCGCTGATCTGGCCCTATATAGCAGAGATATAGCCTTCCGAAGATTGGTATTTGCACTTCATGCAAATACTAGTTTTTTCTGTAAGCTATATCTCAGCTATACGG